AAGGAAAAAATAATAATAATAATAATAAACAAAAAAATAGTTTTAAGATGCTTTAGAACCAGGCCGCGGTGGAACTTGCAATGCTGAAGCCAATTTCCTTGCTCATCCTGACAAGAGAAGTATGCGAAAACCAACTCGCTGTCTGGCAAGTGTTCGTGGCTTTCATCGTACGAACCTATCTCGCTGACTGGTGATCAATTCATGTACCTATGTACAAACCTATGTGTCATGTAGTCTATCCATGTATCTATAATGACTCTTGCATCACCTATCCCAAGTATCTGTCTATCCAGTGATCGAAAGAAGTTCACGGTCGAATTTCCGACCTACGGGGAGATGCGGTCACGTGAAATTTCTGAAAGGGGGTCCTGTTCCCAAGCAAAGCGTTCCGAATTCCGCCAGTCACCACTTGCCATTCCGGGAATCATAGATCAAGGACCAAGCGCACCGGGCACTGAGGTCATCGTCGGCGTCCACTGGCGCTTGTTGCCAGAGGGGGTCGGATGTTGATCGTGTAAGATGTGACTTCGCAATCTTCGCATGTACTTGCCAGGGGGGTGGGATTGTGATATGACGCATGTACCCGCCAGGGCGGTGGTGAGTTTTGGTTGCTGAGGTTTGGTTGCTGAAGCGAGAGTGGGTTTTGGTTGTTGAAGCGTAGTTGCTGAAGCGTAGTTGTTGAAGCGAGAGGGTAGTTTGGTTGCTGAGCCGCGGTTGCTGAAGCGTAGTTGCTGGGCCGTGGTTGCTGAAGCGTAGTTACTGAGCCGTAGTTGCTGAAGCGGAGTTTAATCCCAAGGCGGCGATCCCTCGTTTCTCTTCAAACCACGCAAGCTGGGGCGAACGGGATTTTCACAAGAATGACATGGCATTGACATGGCGTACAGTAATGTTGCTTTAAGGTAATTATCGCATAAGTGCAAGATTACTCATCACAATCATATCGTTCCCATGTTTTCCTAGCTAATCCACGTTCGACGCGTCCTCCACTTTATTGGACGGGACTGCATTGCACCAACTCCGGATTTCTTTTTCGCAACATTTTGTTCAACGCTAGTTTGAGCGCTCGATTGAAAGCTGCGCTTCAACACTCCAGTGCAAGCCTTACACGGCGCTTTTGTTTCGACGTTTTCTCAATACCGTGTCACGAAAATCTTAGGCAGTCCGCAAGTCCGTGTTTCGTGTCGCCAGCTCACTATTCGCATATTTTGGAAACACCTGTGCCCAATCCCTACCCCCCAGACCAGGGAGGACAGAAAATTGTAATATTACTTTTTTCGACGGTAGGGTGGTGAAAAAAAGAATATTACAATAATCGAATTTGACGTGAAAAATGTAATGCTACAATTTTTTGGTGCCATGGGGGAATAGAAAATGTAAGTACAGTAGCTGCAGGGGAGGTTTCCAAAAGCCTGCAAAAACACATGACAACTGTGACCTTCAGGTATGCGTTTATGAAATCTAAGCAGATGCAAACAGCATCAAACCAAACAGCAACACTGCAGGCCATCTTGCAGATGGTGGATGATCCAAACAAACCGCGAACAGCAGAAGATAATATAAAATAGATTAAGATAGCACAAGATCGTACAAGATAGTACAAGAGTACAATATTCTGATATATTCTGATCACATCTGAGGATACCAAGGACCAAGGATTGTCATGGATCATCTATGGAACCTTCTGCCCCAAAAGAAAATTGTAAGTAGCTGCAGTGCTTCAGGGGAGGCTTCAAAAAATCTGCAGAAACACATGAAACTGCGACCTTCAGGTATGTTTTTTTTTTAACGAAATCTCTTCCAAGACCTATCTATCTATCTATCTACCTACCTATCTATACATACATATACGTATAGTTGCTATATTTAAAAAAACTATAGCCCTTTTTCCATCTATTGTATTCCATTGTATTCCCCAGCATATTGGTGGATCTATAGGCCAAATCTCTGTTCAAGATCATTCAAGACATAGTTGCTATAACATACCTCCAAGAATTTCCCCTACAAAAAAGCTGACATTTATGCTCATACGTGTTCTATCATTTCCTGTGGTATTGAAATTTTGGAATTGAATGGTATTGATGCTGTTGAAACATTTAGATGGTCAAGAATAAGTACCAAAAAATTGTTTTTGCAGCCTGTAGCTATTATTTTGGGACAACAGTTAGCTAAATGTATACATACAAAAATTTTAAATCCTACAGTATCATCTGTAACGCTTCCCATTTCTCATGTCACGGGGGGGAGAACGGGGAGACACACCGGGGGAGATACACCGGGCGCTCACGACCTTGGAGCTCCATAACGGGGGGGAAACGCAACGGGGTAACACACCAGGATAAATCAACGGGGTAGCACAACGGTGTAACCAAACAGGGGGAAACAACGAGAAAATGAGAAATGGTGGGTATATGTTGTGTATTCATGTGTATTTGAATGTATTGTGAATGTGTCTTAGATATGGTTTAGATATGATTTAGATATGATTTAGATTTCTTAATGGATATGTTGTGTATGTTGAATGTATTTTGATTGTGTTTTAGATATGTTTTGACCTTATCGTGTGTTTTGAAAATGTGTTTTCAATGTATGATCAGATCATATCAGAATAATGTACTCTTGTACTGTCTTGTACTATCTTGTGCTATCTTAATCTATTTTATACTATCTTCTGCTGTTCGCGGTTTGTTCGGATCATCCACCATCTGCAAGATGGCCTGCAGTGTTGCTGTTTGGTTTGATGCTGTTTGCGTCTGCTTAGATTTCATAAACGCATACCTGAAGGTCACAGTTGTCATGTGTTTTTGCAGGCTTTTGGAAACCTCCCCTGCAGCTACTTGCATTTTTCTTTTGGGGCAGAAAGTTCCATGGATAATCCATGGCAGTCCTTGGTATCCTCAGATGTGCTCAGAATATATCAGAATGCACAATGATGATATATCACAACAATGACAACATATCACGCTGAAACCTGCATTCAACTTTTTGCACCCAATTACCTTTCTGCAATTATTCAGGGAAAAACAGCACAAAAGACAGGAATTCCAATCAGTTCTCCTGCTTTTCGATAACATTTGCTTTTCTGCAGAAAAATGTGTGACTTAATTTTGAGCCAAACCAAACACATTGAAAACATTTGAAAACACTTTCAAAACACATCCACATTGGAAACACACTGAGCAAACGCATTAAATCTCCCACCACATCTGAGGATACCAAGGGTTGTCATGGATGATCTATGGAACCTTCTGCCCCAGAAGAAACATGTAAGTAGCTGCAGGGGAGGTTTCCAAAAGCCTGCAAAAACACATGAAGACTGTGACCTTCAGGTATGCCTTTACCAAATCTAGCAAGCAAATTCACATTTTGGGGAGGGGGGTGGCTAAAATGTAAGTTACGATGTCCCACGTCGATTGTTACATTTTGAACCCCTCCCCCCTACTCTATTGGGGCCAACAAAAATTGTAACTTACAATATTTCTGCCAAAACCAAGGCTAACGGGGTGGGGATTGTGCCCAAACGAATTTCTTTCTGCCACCCCAACTAACATTGTCAACGTTGAGCACCCACCCCGGCGGGTCAAAATAGATTGGTAGTCACTGGCGTTGCAGGGCCATCTCTTGGTGGCGAATTGAAAACGTGACCACTTTAGCGAAGCGCTGCGTTCTCTGCATGCTTGGTCCGTACATTGACTCCTGAATATATATGCCTTTGATCTTTTTTTCTGTAGTTTTGGAGTATGGCCTGAAATGACCGAGTTTTTCAGCATCTCGTCTAATTCTAGGTTTGCCCAGTTTTGCTTGCTGATGGCCAAACTATCACCACAATTGAAATTTTGAATCTGATTGAACATGGCTTGCATCCCGGCTGCATCCCAGAACAGGCCAGGCCATTCCCACAATATCTCAAGCACCAACCCCTTTTAAATGCACATAACGGCGCCATACTGCGCCCAAAATTACCCGCAAAACGCCCACAAAAATCCACAAAACACTCGCAAAAAACCCGCAAACGCCCGCAAATCCAAGAATCTGGTAGATTTGTAAAAATTTAGGAGTTTGCAGTTAAACACACACCAACTTGGACGTGCGGCTCCGCATGTTGAAAGCAATAGATGATGAGAAGACTGGGAGGAGGGCCCTGCGGATGGGAAACACTTCCATGACATACCACGCCTAACTTTTGGGGAAACGCTTGATACTGTACGACCATAAATTTCATGAAACGCCTGATTGTGCAAAACGACCGATATGTTTTAGGAGTTGGAAGGCCCAGGCTAAGTTGTACGTAAGCCTTTACCAAGCTTGGCCGTGGCCCGGATTGAACGTCAGCTTCAGAACAGCGTTGCAAATTGGTGTGCCAACATTGAATCAGCAATGATCAGGCGGGAAGGATTTATTTTCAGGCGGAATTCAAACATTGAAGGATGTCCTACTCCATACACTGGGTGAAAAGAAACGAAGGGGAAATACCGGCATGGTCAAGGGATCAAGGGTAAAGGCTGGGTCTTGTCCGACAAATGATGTGGTACCTGTCTGGGAAGGGCCACAAGAAGAAGGTAAACAGTTGAAGGGATGCAAAGACAGGAAACCGCTGCATCAACGTTGTCTTTCCAATCGCACAAACCATGATTCGGCAATTTGTGCTCATCGTTTTATGGCTCAAGAAACTCACGCGCAGAATGAGAGCGGCTTGTGCTGTGTGGGGCACCAGGAAATTGTATCCGCATACCTGGGTTGGCATATGCCGGGGAGGAGATGTTGCATCATCACGCGGTGCCGCAAATGTTGTGTTTTTTGAAGTGCAAGTACGGAAAGCATTTTTGGCCGATGCAAAGGGTCGAAGCCAGCTCATGGTGCCCCTGTGTAAGCGGCTTGTGCTGTCGGTTAGTGTTTAGGTTGTTCTGTTCATTGTCGCCGCCGCAACTCTTACTGCGATCGACCATGGGAATTTAGGGGTACCCCATCTTTGGACAACATGACCCCAAGCTTGGGCGAACGCATCTTTTTCTTAACGCTCACGCCAAGGGCATCCTGAGCACAGTTTGGAACTCACTCGCCCAGCTCACAGAAATCCTGGCGTGGACCTTAGAAGAATTGACAACAGCGAAATCAAGGGCAAAGATCTGCTACAAAAGTTGCTGCTCAAACAAAGATCATCAGCACTGCAATGCTTCCAGCTTCTAGATCTGACTTGAAAGAAGCTGCATAACCAAGGCCAGTGTGACAGCCATCAAGGCTTCTTGCTGAGCGCTTCACTCTGCCCTGCCGGGTCAGAAAGCGAGCAGGCGCCCCTGCCGTGTAGCGGGGAGCCTCGTTGGTGCAGACATGGGACGAACAACTTATTCTGTGGATCCTTGGGATGTCTTACCCCACGAAACTGACATCTGGGCTGCGCACCACGTAAATGCCATTGTGCCTGGCAGTGGCCAAACAGGCGTCCAAAAGTCTCGTCAACGCATCAATTCCCTTGGAATTCAAAGGAGCCAGGATCACCATGTACCAGGATGTATGTAAACTCCCTTTCCAGCTGGCACATGGAAAGCACGCATATCCTGCTCAACATATTATACAGTAAACTGCACAGTAAACTGTAGCTGAACTGACACATCTGATACTTTTTTTGTACACAGAGTCGGTCCTCCGGTTTAATGTCATCCCCGCGTGATGCGGGTCCGAGACATACAGAGAATGGAATCGGCTGACGTGGCCAAAAGAGTTGTCCACCTGAAGACTGATACGACTGGATGTCAATTCATGTCAATTCGTGGATATCCTGGATATCTCAAAAGTAGCCATGATCAAAATGGTTCCCTCACCCTCGCTGAGAGCAGCACCATCGGGATGGTAGTCGCTCATCCACAAATGTATAGAACCTGGGTGGTTGAATGAGATAGCAAAAATAAAGATCTCAAGATTGCTAAACTTGGTGTTCACAACCCTAATGTGAACATTCACCTACAAACTAACAGACTTGGTTACATTGAAATGTTCGACCTTGTCTATCTCTAGGGTGATTCCTTATCGATGTGGCTTAGCCTAGCACAGTGATCCTCAAATACCCTCAAATTCAACGAGAATATCCAGAATGTGTCAGTATTACCCTTGGGACCCCGCTAGCGTCTGCATCTTTGTCAGTCTCCGCCAGTTCTGGCCTCAAACCACAGAGACTGCGAACCGCACTGCATGCAGTCAACTGAGGCAGTCACAAGGCTCCAAGCCCATCCAAGTATTCGTTGTTTTCCGTCGCAATGGCTAGATTCTTTCCATAGAAGAAATCGCCCTTGAAGCACAAAGCAATTGGGCTGAACACATTTTAAAGAAATCATCAAATATATTGATATGATCAAATCCTCCAAGTTCTCTTGAAGCAAGACATAGCAAGACTAAATCAGGCCTGCCATTGCACTTCAAAGTCCCCTTCCGTGGTTCCAGCCTCACCAGGTCGCATATCTCACAAGCCATGGCCATGGTTGGCACCTCGCACCTCATCGCCGGTTCCAGGATCCAAAGGTCGCCAGCCCAGCTGTGGCCATTTGGTGATCTCGAAGGTCTTCCCAGCCACGGTGAAATCCTGAGGAAATGACCAGTGGTAACTGGTGCTACTGTGGCTGCGAAATCCTGCACCAGTTGCTAACTATAACTGCGAGACACTGCGACTAACGGGATAACGGGATAAACCATCTACCAACAACTGATGTAGTGGTTCAACACTGTCTCCGAGTCCTCGGGATCATGCACCAACCTGTCCCAAATTCAACCATGCTGAAACAAACGAAAAACGCAGAAGATCGGTCTGTCTGGCAGTATCTGGCAGTATCTGGCAGTAGAGTATCCCAAAAATCTCCAAAATCCATCAAAATCCATCAAATTGGTTACGAGATGTTACGAGTAGCTCATGATTCTAAAATATTCCATATTGAGTTTTAGTTTATCGTCGTTTGTCATCAGTTTCTTATATTTTCTTCATAAAGAATTGCGCGGGTCATCCATGGTCATCCCCCATGTTTAGCCCCTGATCAAGCCTCGCCTTCCGAGTCCAGCCAAGGTATCGTCACTCGCAATTTCTGGGACAATGTCCCGGACTTTCAGACCTCAGGATGTGCCGATCATGTCACGTTTTAATATGATGTTATATATATATATATGTATATATGTATATATATATATTATATTATATATATATAATTATATATATATGTATTATATATATATGGGTCTGCATGGAAATTGTGGTATATTCCAAATGAATCCAAATGAGAATTTTAGTGGGGAAAATGATGAACGAACGTTGGATTTTGAGGTAACTCACCTTTTTTTGGATAAACTCGTTTCCCTGATAGACCCAGAGAGAAATGTCATCAATATCAACTGATCGCACTCATCAACTCGCTTCGCTTTGACGCTAACTGGCGTGCCGTTGGGTAAATCCGGACGTCTGAAATTCTCCGGGGAGAAGATGAAGGCAGGAGTCGGTCTGTCGTGGCCTGTCATGCTCACAACACCGCGCACCTGGACCTCAGTTGGAAATGGCTTCAAAGTTCCAGATGGAACACTCATGAAAATTGATGAAAATGATGGGAATGGGTCAAAAATTGCCCCAAGAAAATAGTGCTACCTCATTTTTGTTGATCCCCAATGATCCCCATAATTTTGGGGGGAAGGACAAAGCATTGCAAATATGTCAGTACTTTCAGAGGTTTCTAAGCACACTACTCCAACAAAGTCGCAAAGTGATCTTCTGCATGAGGCTCGTTGCAGAAGCTTCATGCTTGTCAAAACCCAGTTCGATTTGCAACTGCACAGCTGTGCCTACTTTCCTGCTCCAAAACCTCTACTAGTATGATGCTTGGCTCTGACCTTGAGCCATCTTCCAGAGAAACCATGTGCAATAGCATGATATAGACATGTAATTAATTGTAATTATAGACTTGTGTCTCGAGGCACTTTTGCAGCAGCTCTTTTATGTGAAGCACAATATGATTTCAAGCGATGCGTAGCTTTCGGCTCTCTTTGGCACGAATCCACACTTATTCCAAACCAATACGGCAGCCACACAGGGCGCGGGCCCCATTTCTAGGGACTCAAAGTCACTGAAACAGCCTCCCTTTTCAGAGGTTCTATGTCACAAATGTCTTCACCTTAACGCTTCGTTTGCATAGCAAGATAGGTCTGCAGCGAATCCGTTCGGCGCAATTGCAATTTTGCAAAAGGGTGTCGAACTATGTATGTAGTACGTAGGCTCCTATCCAATGTCAATTTGGGAACAAAGGTCTATGGGGATGGGTCAAAACCTATTATTACCATATTTGGGGGACTAAACATCCATAAACTAGGTAACGTCGTCCATTGCGGTCCCGTTGTTTTTGTTTGTTTTGAAAACAAGCATCTTGCTATTTCGATAACCCTTATGGCACTTTCTGTCACCATGGATTTTGCGCCATGTTCAAATGCCTTGCGTTTTACAGCACTTTGTGTCCATTTTGTGCTATTTCCAATGGGTTTTACAAGTCCATGTGCAAATCAGCGAAAAAAAACGCTTGGAAGCCAGCAGTATGTTAGGATCGTGTTGCATACATGATAGACCAGACATAGACACATACCTTGCATACTTGGACATGTACACTGATTCTTATATCATATATATATATATACAATATATTTATATATCCATATATATATATATGTGTGTGTAACCTGACACAAACAGGCATGCACACACTGAGATATGGTTCCGTAAGGAACGCGATGAGATTCGATATGGTGATGAAGATGTATACGCCTTGATGAACCTAAGTGGCCTTACGAGATCGGACGTCACACGTGCTGACAGGGTGAACTTGCCAACATGATACACATTGCAGTTCAAAGGACTCTCAAAACATACCAAGGATGACAGCTTGTCAAAAGTTTCAAACTTCTTTGCAGGTACACAGTTGGACGTCTCCAACTGCTTCCCATGACATCACTAGCTTCGTTGGCCAGCGTCGTGATGCCATGCGCTGGCCCCCTGCTACTGGTTCTTAATTTATCAAAATTCGTATCTCGCAAACTGAAAGCTCGCAGAAATGAATTCTTGCAAAATTAATTACCGCAAACTGAATCTCGCCAAACTGACACACATAAATGAAATCCGGGAGATGCTACTGCCTCCAAGATCGAAGCTCAATACGACATGTGAATGACGACAAATGAATAACTTCGGCTTGAATGGATAGCCGTTTACACACACACACACACATATATATATATACATATTCATCCCACCCCCACCCCACCCCAACCCCAACGGGCAGCGTAACATCATCAGCGTACCATGAACGTTAACATCCCACCCCACCCCACCCCAACCCCAACGGGCAGCGTAACATCATCAGCGTACCATGAACGTTAACATCCCACCCCACCCCACCCCAACCCCAACGGGCAGCGTAACATCATCAGCGTACCATGAACGTTAACATCCCACCCCACCCCACCCCAACCCCAACGGGCAGCGTAACATCATCAGCGTACCATGAACGTTAACATCCCACCCCACCCCAACCCCAACGGGCAGCGTAACATCATCAGCGTACCATGAACGTGAACATTCCACCCCACCCCAACCCCAACGGGCAGCGTAACATCATCAGCAGCGTACCATGAACGTTAACATCCTACCCCACCCCACCCCAACCCATGTTTATTAAAAACTAGCAAATTCCCCGGGGCCGTATTGGACGACGTCAGCAAAAACTAGCTTTCTTGGGGTACGTAGGGTTTTGACTCAGAAAACGATTTGTCAAAAGCGATTCTTAGGTCTCTGAGTCGCGTGCACTGGGCTCTGTGGGAAGCTGCTCCGCTGATCGGAGATCAATTTCCAAGTATGGAATGTACACCTGCAGCCACAACACGTTGTACTGGTACTGACCAACAAAATTGGGAAAAGAACGATCAACAATGCAGGCAATTCATGTGCACCCAGATGATGTGGATATATGCGGATATGATATAAAACATTGTAAAATCAAACAGGACACTCTGCCACCGAGCATTGCACATCTCCGACCATCACTGCCTGTGCACATGATGACAGCAGCATACAGCACATACAGCACATACAGAAACTTTCCACAATTCTCCCTGGTAGTCATGCGAAATTTGCTGGCAGCAGCGTTCTTCGGAAAGGGTCAGAACCTCCATGGACTCTTTCTGCTTGGCAGCTAGGCTAGAAATGGCCTTGAAACATCTGCCATATGGGCGGTTCCACAAATGGGGGTACCCCTCTTTAGCTGGATGGTTTATAATTTATAATAAAAAATCCTGTTAAAATAGGTGATTTGGGGGTACCCCCATTTTAGGAAACCCCCATATGATGCAATGAGGACTCGTCAAGGGCGATGGCTTCAGCTCTGAGGAAGCAGCTGAACGTAGCGCTCTCATCGACTCCTGCGGAACTCGGTTGCCAATGTACCTGGCAAAGAAATTGCAAAGAACAACTGGCAACCGAGTGCCAAAGTCGCACAAAGCGGCAGAAACTGAAGAATCTGGAAAAACTGTCAAGATCTGTCAAGTTGATCAGTGTCGAACTAGAAGGCTTTGGAAGGACACTTGACATGCTGAACGCATAATGCCAGGATCTTGCTAAGAAGTACAGCAGAGACCTGCAAACATTAGGATGAAGATGATCAAGATGTGAAGGTGCCAAGCTGATCAGGTTCACTTCTTGAATCATCTTGAATCAAAGATGTTCGAAGGCTTCCAGATTTCCAAAAACCCTATTCTAGACTCTTCGCAACTCTTGAACCTGGCTGGCACCCTCAGCAAACAAGTGAATGACCTGCCAGGCTGCGAGTTGTCACAACTTTCGTCACAACTTCCCTTGGAAAAGTGTAGGCAGGAAGATTTCCCAGCATCAGCATCTGGGTGTGTCTGAAAATAGTGTACCCCTAAACCCAATGGTTAATGATCATTATCCCTATTAAATGGCTATAATTGGGAATATACCATATTTTCAGACAAACCCATTTGTTGCACGCACATGGCCTCGTTTAGAATGTCCACAAACAAGCCGACATCCAAGGGATCTGAATGGATTGCACCTGGCTATAGCCCTTATTGGAATGTTTCATCACCGGCAAAGCCAAAAAGCAAAGCATCCCTGGGGACACGGCCATCAGCGCTCTGCAAAGCTCTCCGCAAGCAAAGCAAACCCCGGTCTGGGTCCTGGAGGGCAAATCATGTTCGTATGAAAGATTCATGCATAAACGAGTTGTTTTTGATTGTTTTTCCAGCTTTCCAACTCCAAAAATGTCTGCACCACATCCTGGAAGTCCAAATGCGGCAGCCAGTACCTTCATTGCTTGAGATACGTGAGATATCTCGCGATGGTGCACGTGCTTCAAGACTCCAGCCAAAAACTCAAATGATCTTGTGCTACATTTGTGGTGCATATGTGCAGCCGTGTTGCAACTCACAGCATAAGCAAAAAGCTTTGCTCTGATAGCGCTTTGATAGCCTGGCGGGGTCCAGTCCAGGGGGACCTGGAATCTAACTGACCACAATGCCATCCTCCGAATCGAGTTTAGTACCGAAGCACTTCATAAAGACTGATGCAACAACAGTTCCAGAATGTGTCAGTTACACTGCACTGTGTCAATCACCCCAGCGCTAACGCGTGCAGGAGCAGCATCTTGCTTGACAAAGCCACAGCTCGGCCACAAATCATTTTCAAATCGTCTTCCTGCTGCGCTTGACACCGAAAGGCTCCCCAGAAGGGCAACCCACTCTTTGGTGTGCCTCTCTTTGTGGTGCAACTGTCAATGCATGTGGTGGATGTGTCCAAAAATATGTAGCACTCTCAATCCGGGTTCCCTTGCTGAAATCAAACATCCACATCGACCCATACCCACTCAATTATAATCACCAGACATGACCCAACATTCTCCTGTTTATACTATTTGGCACGCTGACTAGATTTCATGAAATCCCTATCTTTGATGCAAACAATATGTCCAATTCACGTAGATCCATGTGTGCCTGGGTCAAAACTGGTACATGTGCTACGGTCATCCACCCCATCATGGGAATCCTGACAACGTGTATTTCCCAAAGTTCCTGTTCATGGATTGATGACCCCCGAAGAACTGGGCAAAGACTGCCCAAGTTTTGACCATGGCACATATGGAATCATATTGAATCAAATGCCACAAAACCACAAAACCATTTAAACCGAGACGGGTACGACACCCCGATTTAAACTTATTAATCCAAACCACGCTTGAAAACGGTTCAACCACGAAAAAAAACGCTAGTTTTAAACCACGATTTGGTTTGTTCAGGCAGCACGTATATATTAACCAAATCTCTCTTGTGAAGTTTTTTTGGGTTTCATTTGGTTCGTTTGAAGTTAAATTATGTGCATATTAGTGTTTCTAGTTCGGAAAAGGGATTATTGTATTATAAGTCGATGATGTGGCATTCCATTTGTAATTTGTTTGGTAGTTTTTTTAAGTTTTGAGCAATGGGATTTTTGGGAATTTTAAGGAAGCAATGGAATTTTATGGAATGTTTCGAAAGTTAAGATTTTTTTAAGGTTTTTTTGAAAAAAATAAAGAGTTTTAAGGATTTTGCGGAATTTGAAGGAATCCTAAGGAATTCTAAGCAATTATAAGGAATTCTAAGGAATTCTAAAGATTTTTGAAGAATTTTAGGGAATTTTAAGGACAAAAAATTTGTGCTAAGGACGAAAGTTTTGGGTTCAGGACGAAAGTCTTGTGCTAAGGACGAAGGTTTTGGGCTAAGGACGAAAGTTTTGTGCTAAGGACGAAGGTTTTGGGCTAAGGACGAAAGTTTTGTGCCAAGGACGAAAATTTTGTGCTGAGGGCTGAGGACGAAAGTTTCTTGCTAAGGACGAAAGTTTTGGGCTAAAGGCGAAAGTTTGGGCTAAGGACAAAATTTCGGAATTTTAAGGAATTTGAAGGAATTTTAAGGACGAAAGTTTTGGGCTAAGGACGAAAATTTGGAATTATAAGGAAATTTAGGGAATTTGAGAAAAAATTGAAGAATTTTAAGAACGAAAATTTTGTGCTAAGGAAGAAAGTTTTGGGCTAAGGACGAAAGTTTTTTTCTAAGGACGAAATTTTGGAATTTTAAGGAGTTTTAAGGACGAAAGTTTTGTGCTAAGGACGAAAGTTTTGTGCTAAAGACGAAAGTTTTGGGCTAAGGACGAAGATTTTGGGCTAAGGACGAAAGTTTTGTGCTATGGATGAAAGTTTATTCCTAAAAATCCGTAAGATTCCTTAAAATTCCAAAATTTTGCCCTTGGCCTAAAACTTTCGTCCTTGGAACAAAACTTGCGTCCAAATTACCAAAATTCTTTAAAATCCTTTAAAGTCCTTAAAAGTCAAACAAAAACCAAAAAAATCAAGAAATTCCTTAATATTCCTTAAATTTCCTCAGAAATTCCCAGAAAAAATCCATGAAATTGCGTTTCACGTGTAAAAGAAGATCAAAGTCCTAGTACTAGAAAGCATCACAAACCCAGAATCACAGACCTAGTGCTAGAAAGAATCACAAACCCAGAATCACAGAGCTAGTACTAGAAAGAATGACAAACCTAGCACTAGAAAGAATCACAAACCCAGAATCATAGACCTACAGTAGATGGACAAATTATTCAAACCCCGCACCCATGAGTTGTAGGCTACCCCCTGTCCCCCCAAATTTCAACCTTATGGTTTCGTATCTTTGTTCCTGATCTTAGGGTTTTATTTATTTCGTCCATTCGAAGGAGCGAACCAAACCCAAAAAAACAACATTGTAATTGGGGGTGCAGGGGGGTTATTGGATTACAAGGGTTTGAATAATTCGTCCATCTACGGTAGTACTAGAAAGAAACACAACCTAGTACTAGAAAGAATCACAAACCCAGAATCACAGACCAAGCACTAGAAAGAATCACAAACCCAGAATCACAGACCTAGAAAGAATCACAAACCTTGCAAGGAGAGATGCTCAGGAACATGCCTGCAATACAATAAATAAATGCTGAATTCATTTCTTATGTGATATACTAGACAAAACATTTTAAAAACAATAGATCGTGGCCAAGATGATGAAAAAATGCGTAGTATGGGTATATGATTAATTCGAGGTACATGGAAGTCAAATCATAGTAACAAGAATTAAATCGTGGTTGGGGCCCCATGTACATTTAAACCTCATTAAATTCTATTAAAACCCCATTAAAAGCATTGAAACCACTGAAATCCCATATTATGGGAAGCACCGCGCCGCATCGCCTCCAAGCCCACGGTCATCTGCCGCAGCGTGCCCACCATCAGTTGCAGCCCGCGGAGACGGGCCTGTGCTGTGCGACATAAACTGATGTAAAATGATGTCAAATACGATAAAAAAAATGTGAGGCAAAATGATGAAAACTGATGTAAAATGATGATGAAGATGATGTAAAATACGATGTAAAATATGATGTAAAAATATGTAAAATGACGTAGCAGCAGTGCCCGCTCGAGGCGGGGCGGAAGTTGCCTTAGGGTTATATAAGACCTTTCTCATCTATAGAACTTGCATGCGTCGTGCGCCGGCCAGGCCCGTGCGTGCGTGCTTTGTGCGACTGTTGCATTGTTGTTGTCCAAGAACATGACCTGCGCGTCACCCCGGCGCCATGCAACGCCAAGCGAACACTTTCTTCACACTTCACAGTGCACGCTTCACGCCCCGCACTTCACACTTCACACTTGTACTTCACACTCGACACTTCGTCTCATCTCAAATCATGTGAGCTCTTCTCACCTCTTCTCACCTCATCTCAACTCTTCTCATCTCATCCCATCTCTTCTCACATGTCATCTAAATAAGTTCTTCTCAACTGTTTTCGTCTCATCCGAGCACTGATCAACCTCTCTCATCTCCTCGAAGTTCGTCTCAACTCATCTCAGCTGTTCTGCACGCCAGAAAGCTCTTACTGTCAGAGAGAAGTCTCTCGCACAAAAAACCATTGGGCGCAGAAAGCTTTTGCACACAGAAGCTTCAGACATACACGCATTTTCACAGAAAAGCCTTGCCAAAATACTTTGTACCACAAAGCTTGCACAAAGCACTTCCCATTACTACTACTTTGTACTACAAGGCTTGCACGAAGCACTTCCCAGTACTACTTTGTACTACAAAGCTTGCACACCAAGTACTTCCCAGTATCTACCACTTTGTACTACAAAGCTTGCACAACACACTTCCCAGTAGTACTTGGTACTACAAAGCTTGCACAAAGTACTTCCCGGTAGTACTTTGTACTACAAAGCTTGCACAAAGTACATCCCTACTGCTACTGCTACTGCTACTGCTACTACCACTACTACTACTACTACGACGACCACCACCACCACCACCACCACCACTGCTACTACTACTACTACTGCTACTATCCATGTGAATTCCTACTAGGGTGTCCGCTTAATCCGTTTTGTGCGGATTACACGACGATCCATGTAAATTCCTTAGCTTTCAGAACGATCCTCTTTGTGCAGGTTACAGGATCCATGTGAATTCCTAGGGTATTGGTGCAATCCCTGTTGTGCATATTACATGATCCAAGTGAATTCCTAGGGTATCCGCACGATCCATGTGAATTCCTAGGGTGTCTGCGCAATCCGTTTTGTGCAGGTTACACAATCCATGTGAATTCTTCCGATATGCGCGCAATCCTTTTTGTGCAGGTTACACGATCCACTTGAATTCCTGGGATATCCGTGCAATCCTCTTTGTAGAGGTCGCAGAATGGATGGGAATTACGTTGGCCAACAAGCTTCTGTCTTGTCAATTTAATTCGGTAGTCTCCTGCCAGCTGGTGCTTGCAAAGTGCATTGGGGTGGCTGCATCACAGTTGCTCTGCGTCGCTAGTGCGCACGTAGTTCTATGGTCTTTTGCAACTCGCTGCTTTGCAAATCGCATTGGCGTGCATGCGCCAAAGCTGCGACGATTAGTTTTTGATCATGTTTCTCGTTTTTGGCATGTTCCATTTTCCTGTTACGTTTGCTTTCAAATAGGCTTCAAAATCGAACTTTTTTGGCTTTGGCGCCGAGATCCGGTTTTGGAGCAGGTTTTGGGCCAGAGAAGAGCTGAGATGATCTGAGCGTGAGATGAGGTGAGAAGAGCTGACAAGAGCTGAGATGAGCTGAGAACATGTGAGAACAGCTGAGAAGAGCTTTGCAGATGTGAGAAGAGGAGAGAAGAGATGAGATGAGATGAAAGGAGATGAAAGGAGATGAGGTGACATGAGATGAGGTGAAGAAAGCTGAGAAGACAGGAGATGAGATGAGATGAGATTGGAAAAGATTACGTGGGTTGAGATGAGAAGAGCTTGTATGAGCTCAGATGAGATGAGTTCAGATGAAATGAGAAAGAATCAGACCTTGAAAAGAGATGTCCCTGGACGGAGATGTCAAGAGATTGTTGCTGCATGTTGCTGCAAAGCGCAGAAGGCTTGCGCACATCCTATAGGCACATGTTTTGTCCCGCTCTATAGGCTATAGATGGCTATAGGTGTTTCATTTTTGAAATATCCGCCCCCGGCTTGCCCGGGTACTACTGTACATTATATGATGCGCTTGGATGATGTCATCTTTCAATCATGGAATTGTAGTGCAAAACGAGCTGGAAGTGGTTATGTGCTTTTCTGTGCCATGCTTTTCTGTATGAACAATTGAAACCTTTGGCACACTGGCAATCAACATCCTGCCTCCTGCTCTGGGATGTATTGGTCCAAACAGATGAGCACATTGTCGATGGAACTGCCATCGAAATGGCGCGAGCTAGCAGGACGTTGGTCTCCCTCTGCCCTCAACCCTTCATCTTCAAGGTACCAACAGACCGACTTTAGCATTCCACAAGACTAATCAAAACTATCAGGATCAACCATGATCTACCCATACATACTCTCGGAGCCACTGCCTCGAGATTCGTCGGACTAACCTGAGCGGCTCAACTATTTTGAGTTCGGTGATGCCCCCAGAATTGTTTCACGCATGCGACGAAAAACCAGTCACGGGCCAGGGACATTGATTCGCTTTGTCTGAAAGTAAGGTAATTACCGCAAAATCCAATGGAACAATTTGGAACATATGTTTCACCGTTGTCGGACCCACCCACATGAGTTCGATATGGTTAGACTGTGGAGATTCAGATATTCAGTCCATGACGGCCTAAGGCACACACTCTGCAACTTTCTCTGCTTTTGCCGCTACTTTGTCGGCACAAGCTGCAGATAGCAACCAAAGGCGCACGGACTCCTTCAGGAAACATGAGAAGGCCAAGTGTGGCCCAACCAGCAACGGTAAAGTTTGCAACGGTAAAGTTAACCATAATCTCCACGTGTTGCTGGTTCCACACAGTCTCCTACAATTCCTTGGTCAATTATATTAGTAAATTATTAACTAGTATGGATTATGACTATTAGTATGTACCATCATTAGATTATATATCCTTGGTCATATTCCTGTCCCATCTAGGAATGCTTTGTAGCGAACACAACTGCCCACATTGATCTGTTTAGTTGCTCCTGCGGGGCCAAGGTTCCCAGGCTGGTGCACAATGTATGCCTCTTCCAGGGTTTGTCAAAATCACCCGGCATCCAGTGATCCAGTATGATCCAGTATGATCCAGTATGATCCAGTATGATCCAGTATGATCCAGTGATGCAGTGATCTGCGCTTGGCTTCCAGGCGTAAAGTCAAGGATCTCAACCGCCTGATCCGACCTGAAACTGGTGAAAAAAGCCTAGCGGATCCTAGCGGCCTTGCTGAAGTGGTTGGTCAAGCAATGTCAAGCAACTGGTAGGTTTCGCTAGGTTGGTGCTTTAGTTTTGACTAACCAAGGCCCAGGGCGTTTCAGACCCAAGCCGTCCGACCTCAGCATATCTCTAGTCAGCTGATGGGGTCGACTCTGCAGCTCCCTGAGGTTGGGGCTAATTGAAGCACAGCTGCCACCATAGCCGGAACTGTATAGATGATTCGGTGTGGTCCCCCCTGCCAAAAAAAAATGGATCCACAATGCCAAACTTCTGGCACCATTCTGCCCCCCTCATAAAGCCATGATTTCACCATGATTTCAGGATGGTTTTTACATGTTTGTACAGCATAAAGATGCATAAAGCACTTTAAGCGCCCCGCCTGTTGGAAATACTCCCAAAGCATTGAAAGCATCTCAAAGACCATCTTGGGATCATCTTGCCGGACCTGTCCAGCTGGATCCGATGGTTCCGATGGCTTTCGTCTCCATCCCATGGTGAAGACTCGGTGATAGTGAAGATCCTCATGCTTCAATCATTTTCCACTAGAATCACTAGAATTGGATACACTTGCTTATGATCACACATTTGCAATACATTTGCAATACATTTGCTCCATGATTTAGTTCGAATTTGAAGACTTTTGGTTCGTATTCCCCCAGCATCCCCCAGCTATCGCAGTTGGATCCAGTAAACCGCCCATCCGAGCCTGGTGGATCAACTGGGCCATAGTCTCCTGCTCAGTTCGAAAGACCACCGGGTCGTGCTCCAAGTGCCTGACGATGTCCCAAAAACACGGGGGTTTTGATGTTTGTTGTGTGTTTTTCTTCATGAGTTTGTTTGATCCGTTGGATGTGTTGATATGTTGTGTCACTTTTTGATTTGATTTTTTGGAGGTTGATTGTTTCAACATATGTCAACATGGTTCGACATGTTTCAACTATTTTCAACAGAAGTTGCATGAAGTTGCAGGATTTGAAGCACAGTTGTATCAATTTATATCCCATAATTGAAGACTACAAATCTGTATTAATCTGTATTATGTATGACTTTTTCCCTTACCCTCTGGTAAACTAGCATAACTATGGAAAATCACCATTTACAGTGGATTTACCCATTAAAAATGGGGATTTCCCATAGTTATGTTAGTTTACCAGAGGGTACTTATTGAAGCACAGTACTATGATTGTCAACTTCCCAGTCACAACTCGCTCCAACGAGTTGGCCTTAAATCTTCGCCCAAATCTCGACCGGTCTCGTCGCGCAAAAGGGTGTCGGTCAACCTCAAAGAAACAGGTCATTGAAGGAAGGGCAAATCACCCATGATCCCCAATATTCCCCAATAATCCCATATATTGTTGAGATATGTTGAGATTCTATATCTCCCAATTTTTGTTGGCACCGAAACCGCGCTATCCAAAGAAAGCTGAAGTGTCTGACGCAAAGAGATTTTGGATTGTTTCGCAGTCTCGCATGCTCACCTCAAAGCGAAGCAAACGTCATGAGATGTCATGGCTCGATGATTGAGGCGTGTTCAATCACGATCAAATATATCAAATCTCAGGCAGAGACATCTCCCGCTAGCAGAGCTGATACCTGAACAAAGATTGGCACATTTTAAGCACATGACTCTGTCGCATATGTCACATAACAGCCACCACACTTCCAACCATCCACCCCAAAGTCAAGGCTCTGCAAGACCCACTGAGCTCGGTGCCACCGCCAAAGCTGCTCGAGCTTGCATCTTGCGTGACATCATGGCCTCAAAAATGCGCACGAAGACGGACCACCGTCCGCGAAAACAAAGAATGGGGCAAACCCATCAAACCCAAAGCATCCAGCAGGTGCATGTCTGAGCTTCACACCAGAAGCGACTTGTGGTATGGCATGGCCAAAACAGCTGAGGCCAGGCTCTCCTATATGCTCCATGACTTCCCCTAAGATTTGACAAACCCCAGTCGAATCAACAAATTTCTCCTGCGTCAGTGGAGCTGCCATTAGATCCACGACTGCCTGGGGCAACTTGCCGCTGTTTCATTGCTCCATGGGAGATTTGGGTCATGCAACACGAACAAATGAGCCCTGGTTGGTTCCGTCTCGCCATGCTCCATGTGATCATGGTGCAAATATTAGTGCAAATCATCAATTCTATTCAATTCCATCTGCCTAAGTTGCCTTAAATTGCATTCAGCAACTATTTCAGATACCACATGTGTCCCGTATGTTTTTCGCGTTAAAAAACGTGCACCCTGGGATACCCTGGGCAGCCTCTGCCAGCTTCGGCTCCAAGGGAGAAGGCACGCCTCAGCAGATGTTTATCAGAGAACAACTGTGGTAGAAAATAGATAATGATAATTATTGGAAAATCATCATCAGCTGATTTATCATCATCATAAATCATCATCATCATCAAATATGTCCAAGTTCAGCTGATGATGATTTATGATGATGGGTTATTCAGAATAATTCATGATTATTACATATGTTATATACTTGTCAGTCTTGAAAATTTAGATCATCCAAAGTGGGATGCTTCCCCTCCCATTTCGACATCAGCTGATTTACCAGGGGCGACTTGGCACTGGCACCTGGAGCTTGGAGAAGAGCAACTGTGCTCTGCAGAAGCTCCATGCATGAGTCCTGGCCTTGTCACAGGCTGAAAAAACGAGTTCCTGTATGGAATCCTGTGTCCATAGATGTCCATAGCATAGCGGAACACCACAACAACATACAACAACATTAGTGTGTTTTCTAGGTGCCTGATCTGTGTTGAGAATTGAGAACTGTGGTGCACACTTTCCGACTCGGCACAACTTTGCTGACAACCTGATCTGCATGAGTTTTGAGGGTCGCACCTGTGTTTAGAGCCAGGACGTACATGCAAAGCTCCTGGTTTCAGCGACACTACCGCCAAGTGAAACCTGAACCACACATGGTTTTGACAAAAATTGGTTATACCGTGGCATACTGACCATGGCATACCCCAAAAGTGGTGGTCCTCAAAGAGAAGAAATGATGAACCATGATGAACCATGATGAACCATGATGAACCATGATGAACCATTGCAGTTTAGAGGTACCCAACTTTTGAACAAACCGAACCAGTCCAGTTGCAGCTCGAGCAAAGAGCTCAGAGGGGTTGCCTGAGACACCAGCGATGGCTAAGATGTCGCAGGGAGAAATGAAAACCATTTTATAACCAGAAAAATAATTAATGTGAGTTGTAAGGTGATCGAAAACAATGCCAGATGCTTTCAGTGCATGTATCATGTCATGTACCGTCCAAATCTTCCAGGATTTCCCAGGAAAGTGAAGTGTCAAAAGCATTCAAACCCAACAAACAAATGGTACATCAATAGCGATAGTTTCCCTTCAGGCTTAGTCAATGACACGGTACCTGTAAGCATGGTCTTGCTGAGCTTCTGACGGATGTCCGCGGGCGACCGTGCAGCTGTTTGAGGTGTGAATGGAAGAATCCAAACCTGTCGAGCCCAGTCGAAATTGGAGGTTTTGATCTTACCAAACATCGCAGCCTTTGGGCCATTTGGGCCACTGCCATGGTGAAGAAACTGCAAGAACGCCATTCAACAAGCCGGAGCGACACATCGCGCGGGCTGATCTCCGCACACCCGTCACCTGTGAGCATCGAGGGGTGGCTGATCGGTATGGGGATCGGAGAATTCGGGGGATCGGGAATGAATAGAACGGGGATTGGGGATGGATTTTGGGGCCGCTGAGTTCTTTGGAAGCAATCGGCCGATTGAGTGCCCGACCAGATCGGCTGCTGTCCGCAAGAAAGCTGGTCAGTCTTCTTAGAAGATGCTGCCTGATGAAACATCCAGTGGAAAGATGTGGAAAGCCCATCAGTCGTGAAGACAACGCCACCAAATTTTGGAATGCTCAAGAATCGCTCAGGAATTGCTACAAGCTCGCGAATAAGTTGTTGTAGGTTACATCTTTGACCCTTTTAAAGGGTCCTTGAGGGGGGTTGATGATCTTGATGCTACAAGAACCAGAAATTTCACAGAATGACTCAGATCTGTGGTGACTCATTGATTTCCGGGCTAGGATCGCCACGTTAAAGGTTTTAAGTCGACGGACCAATGCACCTTGGAGGTAGCTGACTGGAAATCCAGAGCTGTGTCAAATCATCTGGCATCCTCAACAAATTGTACAACCCAATCTGACAAACAATTACTGTATATAAAGGATCGTTCAATCTTTCACAATCTTTCAGGTGTCCTGCTTAGCACGATGCAACTGAAAACTGCTTTTTCTGAAAGTCACGGATCCATGATCTACCAAAGAGCTTCGACTGCGAAAGTTCATCTGATGGGGGTGCTCATCGTTAGTGGAATAATTGAAAAAGGAAAGTGGTTCCAGAGCTATTGGCTGATGCACACCGAAACTGGTAGGACAGAGCTAATACTACATACCTCAACGTGCAAATATCGCCCCAGTAAGCAGAAACATTGCTAAACAAAGCTGTCGTGTTGCTTTGAACGTCATTCATTCTGCTACCGTATTCGAAAGACTACAACTGGACCTTCAACACTACCCTGGCATCGGACCTGCGCACAGGTGGAGAGGATTTTCTCCAAGGTGTCCAGATGATAGACGTCCGCAAAAACCTGCATGTGTTTCTTGGTGCAGTTCCTGGGAATGGCTTCAAACCACCGTTGCCCTGGCGCTGCTCACAGTTTCAAAATAGCTGGTAAACAGCACATGTATGTTCATCCCTGAGAAATGGTATTACAACTGGATTTGACCATGGTCTGACCCAGCCCCACACAGCATGTGTCCAGCCAAATTTGCATTTCCCTACGATGTTGTCGCCTCAACGATCAGTTGCAGCAAGTATGCCTGGCGAAGGAAACGGAGCTTCCACAGCTGTGGACATGGCATACATGATCATACATGGCACTGCACATGGAAGAATCTGACAGCTCTCCATGACCGGCTCTTTTAGTCCATGCATTCCAGATTCGGGTCTTTGCTGGCACCACCAGATGCACCTGCGGGACTGCGATAGCTCAACAGCTTGAGATTCAATGCTTGACACTTGCCCATTGCACTTCTAATAAACAAAGCCAAAGGATTGAATATGATTGATCCATACGGTCCGAAAGTTTCAAAGGTGAAAGTATTTGTGAAAGTTATGATCCGGGAGAGTAAAGACTGCCATGAAGAGCCTGGACACAAGTTGACACTCGATGTTTCAACAGAATGATCCAGCCTTCGGATGAGTTCGTTGCCTCACCATCTTCGCACTCTGCTAGCGCCTTGGAATGGATCAGGCGACAAAAAAGCAGGTTAAAAAAAACAAAACAAAATATATATCCCTAAGCACTTTGCCAAGTCTACCTCCAAGCCATTTTTTGGCCGAATGGTGGTTCCCAAATAGCTGGATGGTTTATTTCATGAAAAATCCCATCAAAATGGATGATTTGGGAGGTACCCCCATGACTTCGGAAACCAAACCATGTCGAAACATCTATCCCCGCTAAGTGTCCTGGCTGCAGCTAAGCTGGAAGGAGTGATGCTCCAACTGGCACACAGGCGCACCACCTCTGGGTCCTCAATTTGAGCCTGGCAGAAACGGGCAGAAACGTGTCCGTTTCTGCGAGTGTCCAATGATTAAAACAGGTTAAAAACTAAACTTCAGACACTTGGCAGTGTGGAAATTTGAGTCGACCTAAGGATAGCATAAAAATTCATAAAACAGAGCATAACAGAGCTTCTCTTGCGAATGCCAAGACGACTTGGGAGCACCAGATCTTAAAATCACACCAAAACCCACCTTGTCCCGGGCCAGCAGTCTCGTTATGAGTTTTCGTTCCTGTGCCAGGTCATGCACAACCCAACTGGGTGTTTAGCTATACACCGACATAAACCATTGTTCATGAATCATGTGTATATATATATATACATATATATGTGTGTTTATCATTGTTTATCGATCTATGGTCGGTGCCAGAATTATAGAACGGAAGTTCTATCATTCTGGTTTGTTCTATAATTGTGGTTTCCCCCTTGTTTCCCACATTTACCAGTTTCATATAGTTTCGTTCTATAATTATTTTTTTCCGGTCTATAGTTAATTTTGCGTAAACCGTTCTATAATTCTGGTTTCTGTGTCACTTTTTTCTGGGGTCCCAGAAAGATACATAAAATAATGCAAATATATGTAAATAACCTCTTCCGGGGTCCCAGAAGATACATAAAATGATGCAAGTATATGTCAGTCTCCAAGGTGCCAGAAATTATAGAACAGAAATATTAATTATAGAACAGAAAAAATAATTATAGAACAGGATCCGAATCCGCGCGGAATCGGGATCCGGAGGAGTACGAAGGTACGGTATTTTACTGTACTTTTGTACTCCTAATTTCGTTCTATTGTACTGGTTGTTTAGCCATGTTTACCCTACATACATTAGAAACAATTATAATCATGTTTATGTCATTTATATATAGACCACTACAATCATCACATTTGTTCATCGCATTTCGATGTTGAAAAGCGGGCCAGGCCTCTGCAGAGTAAAACGCCGTCGCTTGAGAAGTTGACGATGGGCACAGCCTTAGGGCAAGCTGAAAGCTGAATGTGCAAGCTGAATGAGAAACTCAAGGAGAGAAACACCGATTGTTCCCAGTAGTGAATCATGTAAATCCACATATGTGAAACAATATAAGACAATAGATCTGGGTAAGTGATCATATTTCCCAAACCTGAAATTACCCTTACCAGCCTTACCATCATTCCGGTGAGGTTGTTATAATTCACCATAATTTACCCAGATAGATGGCAGTTACCGCAATGATCTTGTCTGAAGTGAGGCTTCCACGTTGCCATGTCTGTGAGAAACCTTCTGGCAGTTCCTTCTGGCACTGCAGCTCTGTCTGCCTCTCGTTGCAGATCTAAGCGTGACGGATCACACTCTTTTTGGCGACGAGATCCCCAGTTCCAAGGGGTGATTTACCCTCTGGTAAACTAACATAGCTATGGAAAATCACCATTTTTAATGGGAAAACTCACTATAAATGGTCATGTTCAATAGCTATGTTAAATTACCAGAGGGTAGCTTTCCCTGTGTCATCACGTCAACATCCGCCTGCTCAAGGGCTTCAAGCAGCTTTTGAAAGACCTGCGGCGGCACTGGAGGCGCATCAGCATCTGTCAACTTTCGTTTTCAGAGTTTTCAAAGTAGCAATAGCAGTTAGCTATTCGTGTTTTGGAATTTTATGGATTTTCAATGATGTTCACCATTTCACTGGATTAACGAGCCTCCGCATCCATTTCACGACCGAAGATCCGCTGCACTGCTTCGGACGTCATTTGGACCACAAGCTGTGCCCTCTCCTGGCGAAGTATGGCATCTTTTTATGGAAAAAAATATCGGGAGTTGATGAAAAGCGATGGAAATTTGATGAAACATGGTGGAAAATCATGGAAATTGTAAGACACTAGGGGGAAATATAGGAAAATGGTGATTCACACCAGTGGATGGAATGGCTGGGCTCCATAATTTTCATGGGAATGAGGGATGAGGAGGTCCTATATACATCTATACACAGCAAAAAGATTTTAAAATTAAGCAATTACATTTGACTTTGCCTGCGAAACCCATGCCTCTGCCGTGCGTTGCCGCCGCAGCTCTTTGTCAAGCTCCCGAATGCTTCGGATGTCTGCCAGCCGGTTGTGCGAATCGATGGTCGAAGGACGAAAGATGATATGACAACATATAACAACACTAAAAAAGATATACGAGACGATATATCATTATGACTTCACATGTTATATTTACTGTATACATTGACAAACATTTAATGGTATCATATTAGGATACCTGATTTCAGCAGCATACAGAATCATTTCAGGTAAACCGTTCCGCGCAGTAGACTGCCTCCTTTGCTGCTGCTTTTATGTGTTCTTTCGGCAAGCGCTGTAGGCCTCGAACCCAAATATCATATCAACATGTTGACACTCGATAGCATCACATAGTGCAGCTGTCGAAGTCTTTCTTCCTTTTCATTTGTTCTGAGAAGCCAGGATCTTTACCGGAGTGTCTGTATCTACGTATCCTATCATGTCTTACCATTGAGCTACTGGCACTGCTCCATTCGTGGAGTATGGAGAATGGCTTTTCTCCACTTGCCTTCCATGTCACTTGTGGTGAGGCCACTCACAACATTGCAAGACAAGTTCAGTAGGGAGCCTGTTAAACGAAAACTTCGCAGGAGCGTTGAACTCGTTCTTGTGAATTGGCTTTAGCATGCAGCCTGCTACGCGAGATTTGAACCTTGGAAGCTGAGAATGCTGACATGTTGCTTCTGATTTAATGGCCATCCTTCCGCAAGCATTTCACTTGGTATCTACATCTGGTGGAAGTCACTGTGGTGCAGACTCATCGTAATTGGCAGTTGTGGTAATTGCACGTTTCTTCGCATCATCGATAGTATCCTGGCAGCTTCCAAAGAAACCACTTGTCCAGCAGAGGAGTGGGCCGCACAGGCCGCAGAGCTTGCAAATGCTTACGCCATCTTACAGCCATCAGAACTATTCAGAAGTGAGGTTCCGGTGGTTATCTAATGCTGGACCATCGCACCAAACGTGGAATCTAGTCTGTCCGACAAGTAAACATGGCAGGGACACTCTCTTCCAATCTTCTTTCATGGCATCTGCCACCTCCTCTTTCATTCTATCGAACTTGAAAGCTTGTGGATCATACCTGCCCAAGAGGAATTGCGAACAAGGACATCAAAAGCTTGAAAAAATGGAAAAGGGTGAACCATGACAAATTTCTTGAATTGTATGCAAACATCATCAATAATCAGGACGCATCTTGGCATTCCTTTGGCGCACGTCCGCAATCGTTCTTCCTTGATGATGGGCATCCGGTGGTGGAGTCCGCAGCGCAACTGGGAAACACGGCCTGCCCCTTTTAGGCACCGTGATTCACGGCCAGCGTGACTTGGTCGACAGTGGCTGCATCGAAAGCACAAGTTCCCATCTGCCATGATCATCCAATGACTTGCCGAATCTCCGGGCATGACAAACTATGACCATTTTTTTCAAGTCATCCATCATATTTCCGCAGCAACTCTGAAACTGGTTTACCCAGATATGGAAAATGCACCGTAGATTATGTTCAAGGAAAAAACTGGATTTTCATAGTTATCTTGGTTTAAATTTACCGGGGGATACCCTCTGGTAATTTCACAGAACCATGGAAAATAACCCATTTAGATGATTTACCTATATATCTGACACATGTTGATTGTCCCTTGCCAGGTTTCATTACTGGAGGGCTGGAGGGTATTTAAAAGAAAAGTGTTGGCCAAATATTCCTATCATTAATCATTATTACATATAATATGCCATTATAATGCATATGTGTGCATATATATATATATGTATATATGTATATATGTGTTCCCCATGATGTACCCCCATGATATCCCCATTGATGGTTGGTTTACTCCCCAGTATATCCCAATTTGTTGAAAATCGACTCGCACTCGCCTGGCCAGCTGCATCTTCACAGGCAGGGACCAAGTTCAGAAGTTCAGGGAGCACAACCTGAAGCAAATGCCGGAGCCGTTGAAGCAATACCAATTGTTTGGGAAGGTTGGGTTTAGTTATCCCATAATGGATACATGGACAAACATTCATATGTAGCTATGTGTATATGCAATTATATGCACATGATAACATAATATCTATAGTTGCACAAAACATAGGACATGCATCTAATTGTAGGTGTGTTATATATATATATATAGGCGTGTGTGTGTGTGTCGATACAATGATATATGTATACTGTATACTATATAAATATACATTACATATAGTATTATGATGTGTTATGTGTGTGTATACAGTATACATCATGTGGACGGAACTCTGACGGAACATGTTTCGCCTCCGCATACAAGGCGGTGGTAAGTCCCTCCAAGCGGGAGATCTCCATCAAATGAGCACCTGATGCTGTTCGTTCATGAGGCGATAGATCGATGCTGTCTGGATCAAGAATTTGACTATGCCAAATCTGGAAAAAAAATTGGATGATAGTTTGAAATAGTTTGATATGTTTTGATAATTTTTGATGCACGTAATACGCAAGAATGAACAACAACTCATGGTTTAGATATCGCGATAGATACTATTATTATAATCATTATCATTATGGCGATTGGATAAGGATAAATGATAGATGATGATAGATGCCGCCAGGCCTAACAAGAGTCGCAAGGAGAAGCGATGGTCATCCAGTTTCCAAGCCTTGGGCATTGGGGGCATTGGGGGCATTGAGGGCATTGGGGGCACAGTCTCAAGATGGATAGTGCTGGCGAAACATGGCATATTTCCAAGGTTCTGGCGTCATTCTCAGCTTTGGCCTGGTTTCAATTTGTCATACATCAGATCATTTAGATCAGCATACCGGGTATCAAAATTACCCCGGCAAGCGACCCCAAATCTAAAGGGAAAGGTGGAATGACCCAAAATCATGAGTGGCTGCAAGCTAGCAGGACAAGAGCGACCCTAGTAGCGAAAGCATGGTGTTCATTGGAAGAGGAGATACCAGGTTAGATTCTGCAAGCTCCCTTTGTGAAGATCTCTGTATGAGATCGTGCGCAAGATCTCCTTGACTCTCTGTAGAAGCTGCTGTGCAATATGCCTGTGTAAGGCTATCGGTACAAGGTATCTATAAGAGATCTCCACAAAAAGATCTTCGTAAGAGATCACAAAGAAAGATCTCTGTTCAAGTTCTCTAAAAGATCTCTCAGCAAGATCTCTGCTCTCTCTTCACTAGGTCCCTTTTCAAGATCTCTATAAGAGGTCTCCTGGCAAGATCTCTGTACAAGCTCTCTATAAGAGCTCTCTTGGCAAGATTTATCTAAGAGACCTCTTGGCAAGATCTCTGCAACAGATCTCTATGCAATGTCTCTGTACAAGATCTCCATAATAGGTGTCCTGGCAAGATCTCTGTACAAGCTCTCTACAAGAGGTCTCTTGGCAAGATCTCTTTATGAGATCTCTGTAGAAGCTGTCTTAAAGCTCTCTTGGTAAGATCTCTGAAAGGCCTCTTGTCAAGATCTCTGCGCAAGATCTCCTTGATCGTCAAAATGAGCACCCACAACGAGAGCGATCTGACAAGGCCAAAGTGCCTGCACGAAATGGACGTGGGTCAAAAAACGAGCACGGCGCGCCAGTAAAACGAGCCTTTCGGAACAGAGGTCCGCGGGCAACCGTTTCGTGCGAGACTTCCGTCAAAAACGGAAGAGAAAGGAACTTTTGTGATCTAAGGGTCATCAAAAATGGCGCACACGTATGATACCACCTCGAATGAACACCAGGCCTTAAGTCTCACCGTAAGAACCCCTACTAGTAGTGTGGCTGACCACACTGTTCGGGAAAAACATTCAAATAAGACTTCAGACTGCTTGATGGTCGTTTCTGGCGTTCACCATTTGACTTGAACATTGCCGTACCTCTACCCGCAGGTGTTGCCAAAGGATGACAACCTCCTTGAAAGTACCAAGCAAAAACTTCCTCAGGCACGCAAAAGGGTGACCAATTCACACGGGCGGTTCGGTGTCTCTCTGTGAGATCTGTGAGGTCTCTGGGTTCTCTGAGCCCGTGGCAAAGCACCCATCATTCCGCTCTGCAGCACAGGCAGTTTGTCCTTCAAACACAGGTTCTGTCCAAAAGCAAAGATTTAACAGCCTTCAATAGATCATAACCAGGATACGAAGAAATTCCAATACTAATATATGCTAATATACTCCAAAAAAAACCGTGGGGCTGCCACGCAAGCAGGGCAAAAAGCTCTGGCTAGGTGGTGCAAGTGGCGGCTCTCAGAGCACTGGTCATCAGCAGGTTGCTTCATGTTTCAGGAATGGTTGGCAGTGCTGGAACGTGTCCTTGACTGCTTGGAGTAGGAAGTAACGCAAGAAAAGTCCTCGCACTGGATGTTGGACCTCGGTTGAACATCCAGTGCCACGATCTGGAGGCTTTCTCTTCTCATTCCTCCCCTTTCTACACCATTTTGGTCCAGTGATACTCATTTCACCATCCCGATCCATCCCGGCCTTTCGTTGGGATTCTTTGGTTTCCAAGCTATGGCTATGCTGAGAGTCTTCCCATTTGGATGTCAATTCTGGATCATCCATCCGCTGATCTCTGAAGGACCTCTGAAACAAATGTCAGAGGTGTCCGGAACAGATTGGACACCTCTCCAAACCTAACATCTCATGTGAATTTGGATGAATTTATGTGTTTTCGTTTAATGAATTTGGTATTCTCTAGCATTGATCCTCGTGTCTATATGATCCCCGGCCGGGATGCATCGCCAAGGCACAGCTCTCACCATGTCATCCAAATCTTGTAGGATCTCATCCGTCGCGTCCGGGACGGCGATCATTCGCCTAGTCGCGAAACGAAGTGCCAGAGGAGTTGCCCCAGATGTTGCTGTCACTGATATTCTTAAGAGACATCATTAATCTGATCCCCAAAATGTTCAATACTGGTACCCCCTATATCACATGTATGTATTATATATATATAGGCCAAGCCGTGAAGCAGAAAGTAAAACCGGCGAATCGGAAACCAAAACCGGTGCTTCGGAAACTACAAACCTTGCTTTGGAAACCACCCTGGAGACGGAAACTTCAAACCTGGATGGGAAACTGCAAGGCAATCTCTTGCACAGAACTGGGAAAGTTTTTCGATCGCTAGGATGGCTAGCGTATGGGATTAAATTTTATCAGCAATGCAATGTCCTGAGCTGCAGGCCGCAAAGTTTTTTCTACCCATTCAACATTAGTTGTCAGAAGGGGGTGGCGGAATTGGTCCCTTATTAAGACAAGTGGAAGGTAATATTTCATTCAACACAGTGGTCAGGGGGGTGGCTCATGAAGATAAGTTGAAAATCCCAATCAACATAGTGGTCAGAGGGGGTAGCGGATTTGATCCGTTATGAAGATAAATTGAAGGTAATAGCACATTGAACATAGTGGTCAGAGCGGGTGGCGGATTTGATCCGTTATGAAGATAAATTGAAGGTAATAGCACATTGAACATAGTGGTCAGAGGGGGTGGCGGATGTGATCCGTTATGAAGATAAATTGAAGGTAATAGCACATTGAAACATTGAACATAGTGGTCAGAGGGGGTGGCGGATTTGATCCGTTATGAAGATAAATTGAAGGTAATAGCACATTGAACATAGTGGTCAGAGCGGGTGGCGGATTTGATCCGTTATGAAGACAAATTGAAGGTAATAGCACATTGAACATAGTGGTCAGAGGGGGTGGCGGATTTGATCCGTTATGAAGATAAATTGAAGGTAAGAGCACATTGAAATCATTGAACATAGTGGTCAGAGGGGGTGGCGGATTTGATCCGTTATGAAGATAAATTGAAGGTAATAGCACATTGAACATAGTGGTCAGAGCAGGTGGCGGATTTGATCCGTTATGAAGATAAATTGAAGGTAATAGCACATTGAACATAGTGGTCAGAGGGGGTGGCGGATTTGATCCGTTATGAAGATAAATTGAAGGTAATAGCACATTGAACATAGTGGTCAGAGGGGGTGGCGGATTTGATCCGTTATGAAGATAAATTGAAGGTAATAGCACATTGAACATAGTGGTCAGAGGGGGTGGCGGATTTGATCCGTTATGAAGATAAATTGAAGGTAATAGCACATTGAACATAGTGGTCAGAGGGGTGGCGGATTTGATCCGTTATGAAGATAAATTGAAGGTAATAGCACATTGAACATAGTTGTCAGAGGGGGTGGCGGATTTGATCCGTTATGAAGATAAATTGAAGGTAATAGCACATTGAACATAGTGGTCAGAGCGGGTGGCGGATTTGATCCGTTATGAAGATAAATTGAAGGTAATAGCACATTGAACATAGTTGTCAGAGGGGGTGGCGGATTTGATCCGTTATGAAGATAAATTGAAGGTAATAGCACATTGAACATAGTGGTCAGAGCGGGTGGCGGATTTGATCCGTTATGAAGATAAATTGAAGGTCATAGCACATTGAACATAGTTGTCAGAGGGGGTGGCGGATTTGATCTCTTGTGAAGTCTTTGTTTCTGCTGCGCAGATTTTAGTTTCTGAAGCGCAGAGTTTAGTTTCTGATGCACAGGGTTTAGTTTCTGATTCGCAGGTTTTAGTTTCTGATGCGCGGGGTTTAGTTTCTGACGCGCAGGTTTTAGTTTCTGACGCGCGGGTTTTTAGTTTCGGACACTCTGGTTTTAGTTTCTGACGCACGGGTATTATTTAGTTTCTGACGCACGGGTTTTAGTTTCTGATGCATAGTTTCCGACGCGAGGTTTTGTCTATATTAGTCCCCAAAATGAATAGATCATGATCGATCTACTATACGTATCTATATATACGTATATATACGTAAGAATATTCCGACCGAGATAATGACTCTTTCAACGGCGTCCAAACCACAAAACTCCCTGCACGAACATCGCTTTCATGCCATCCCATGAGCGTCCGACACCATCCCCACTGTAACCAGCAAGTAGAGACGTGGCAGGCAGTTGCCCTCGTATTGGACGATTTCAAAGACCTCACCATCCCCATCCCCGGCAGTGGAAGGTCGCAACGAGCGAAGCTCAAACGACGCGGCCTCGTCCAAAGAGAAGCCATGCCTCTCTGTTTCCACCAGGTACGCTCCCAGGTATTGCAATTCTACGAAAACCATGGAATACCTCGCAGGCTTGGGCGACATTGGCGACATTGGCGACATTCTTAAAAACCACAGACACATACAAACACGCGATTTTCCTTAACTGGTCCATAATTAATCTTTCAGATGTAACCATGAGTGGTTTGATTGAGGTCCTCGGTGAGTTCAGATGTAGATCATCAACGAGTCTAGATGAACTCAGCGATCTGCAATTTGTAGTAGCTCTGTGGACCAAGTTGTGACGAGCGCAACCTCAGGAGTCAGTGGTAGAATTCCCACAGAGGGATCAAAAACAATGTGCCACACTGTCCGGATGGGCATGAGTCGAAATTTCAAAACTGACTAAAATCTCGAGTCCAAAAAGCTTAAGCTTTGACTTACCCATAATTATCGCCACATTGCCATACATTATCTCAAATGAAACAACCACCTAGTCGTCTTTCAATGTCGTTCGCCCAAGTAGCTCATTGGCGAGTGAAAGAGAATGACGAATCGCTTTGTAGAAGTCCCCATGATCCACCGCCTCCACATGAAGCCCAACTGGTTTCAAGGTTGGTTTCATCCCCTGAAAGAGAAGAAAGGCACACTAGCGAAAGTCAATTGGAACAAATTGTCTTTTCAATGGAGTGGAGAACTAATCTGTTGGAATCACATGGAATAGCACAATGAGCAATACAAATGGCAGTGTGTCAAAACCAATAGTACCCCTTTTTTGCTCACATCAAAATAGCTGGGATTTATGGATGTTCATCCCCCTAAAAATGGTATTTTCATAGGTATTGATCCATAGCCAAATGAAACTCTCCAGAACTCGAGTGCTCCGTGCGCTCCTTGCGCAAGTAGAAGCGATGCTCTGCAACAAAGCTGAAGGCTTCAGCCAAGATACTTGCCTTGCGCCAGGCACACCGGGCGCACCGAGTCTATCAAAACCATCACCACAACTCCCACCTCGTCCCTGGAGTTGGAGACCAAGGCCTGAAAATATCGGATCTATCCAAAACCAATGGGGATTGAACATGATTTAACATTGGTTTAACCATCAACCATATGGATTTATAATGGGACTTTTTCTAGGGATATCATGCTGGATGAACAATGCACCAACACAGAGTCAAAGCAAAATCCAAGGTCAAGGCCATGCTGCCGGCTTTGATGATCCTGCAAGATTCATGACCAAGAATCCAGCGCCCCCACCCCCCCAAAAAAAACAAAGAGGTTCCCATCCTGGCTCCGAATTCTCAGCATTTCAGCAGCGTCAATTCGCTTCTTTGGCCTTTTCCATAGCTGGAGAACAAGGCTTTAGTAAATTTACCCATGGTAGTTGAAGGCTGAAGGATGTTGAAGGATGTTGAAGGTATTTGCGTTGCAATAGATTTGAAGTAACAAAAAAACCTTCCATGGTATTTCTAGTTGACACCAACAATTCCATGTTCAGTACAAAAACGCAGAGTTTGAGGTGTTTTCAGATCCTTTCTGTTCTGTTATCATTGTGAGCCATGTTTCAGGACTCTAGCCGGGTCATGTTCCCAGGACTTGACTTACCACAGGGGGAATAGTCTTCGGTCTGATGTGAATCTGATAAACCTTGACTCAAAATTGCTGCAGAAAAGGTCAGCCTCCAACAATCCAATCAATCCCAACTGTATCCCAACTCTTGGATGTCGATCTCATGAAGAAATGCCACAGCAACGCTCAGTTTCTCGAGACATGCAACCAGGATGTTCATGCCATACACTTCGGCATATTGGCAGTGCATGCAGGGCACTTTGAAAATGGCTCCAGGTAGAGTCATGCAGCTGCAGCTTCTGTACATCCAGAAATCATCCAGAACCTCTGTTTGGTGCTGTGAATGGAAGAGCACATGCACGGCCCCGCGTCGGGACGCGACGTCATGCATCTTGCAAATGCCACCAATTGAAGGTGACAAATTCGGGACGAGCAAATTCGTTCCATTCAAATCATTCGAGATCCTTCCAGGAATTCCTCCACCCAACGCTCGGCCTGAAAACATCCGATAGTTGGGATGGTCCAAAATGGCATGAATGATATCCCATCCCCATCCATCCCCCATATTGTGGCCGTTTCAACGAAAAATATGAGAAGCCCGTGGCTGTTGAGGTTCCCTAGCCTTCAGTCTTGGAATGGTCGGTGGTGGAACTTTTTTGGGCATCGGTACCTAAGCTCAGCATCCTGCACTGCAACATGGCTGCTGATTCTGGTTTTGACCCATCCCATCGCCCATTGTCCGACAAACCCCCTTTTTTTACGTCTTGATTATAGATATTATATGATATAGAATAACCCCAAGATAGTTGGGAAATTCATCATGACCCAGATAATACCTATCAAGTTGGGATTATCGATAGTTCTAGATCATGACCCAGAAAAATCCCTGAAAACAATCCTCCATTTCCAGGTATCTCATCCCATCGACTCCGTAGGATCCAAGTTGCACCGGGCACAGCCTTGGCCTTCATCAGCTCCTGGGGGTCAACCTGGGCGACCGATGGATCGGGGAAATCACCTGGGAGTTTCCCTCCAAAAAGTCTGACTTAGAGAAAATCCAATGATCTTAAATTTTATAGTTCATCAGTTTTGGACATTGACATATACAATCATATACAATCATATACATATAAAATCATATAAAATCATATAACATCATATATGCCTTTTATATCCATCCAGCTATTCCTATTTTGGGCTGCAAATCGTGACCGGCCAACCCCCAATGTTTTCCCGGCCGACCCCGCCGCGTCGCCCAAGAAACGGTGCCGATGGGTTTGTCCAAGGCAGCTTCCTTAAAGGCTCTCTCGTCGCTCCAGGCCTGCCGTGGGACTTGGAAGCCAAAATTGCTGAGATTTATGGGGGTTCATGCCCCCAAATATGAGATTATAAATGTATTATGTGTATATATATATATATGTAATTAGTATATGTGTATATATATATATGTATATATACATATATATATACATATACATATACTAATTACATATATATATATATGTATATGTATATATGTATATACATATACTAATTACATATATATATATGTATATATGTATATATGTATATATGTACATATGTGTATATGTATATATGTATACATATGTATATATGTATTTATAATATGTATATAATATATGTATTTATAATATGTATATATGTACTGTATATACGTATGTATATATGATATGAAACATCATCATGAAACCAACATGATACCCGGAAACCATTTGAAGAGTTGAAATGCAAATCTTTGAAGCCTCTAGAGTCTAATTGCAGGAATCGCACTACACAGTTGAGGCGGCTCGGGGACGTCAGACTTTCTGCTTTGGTCCAACCAAGGCCTTGTACCTGGTCCGCACATAAGTCTTGAGCTTTGATGAAAGTCCCACCTGGCCGAAAGAGAGCTGCTTTGCGACAAGCATCCCAAAAGCATCCAAAAGCCATAAGTATGCCTTCCAGTGACAAAGCATGCAGGGAGTTCGCTGGTTTTGTGCTTTTCTTCAATCTCACCTTTTTTGGCTTCACTTGCCAGTAATTCCGCCTGTCGTGCTGCCTGTTGAGCACGCTCAACTTCAGCATTGCCTGCACATCATCAAAGATCCGACCAAAAGCCTACGATCGCAAAGAAGTATTAAATGTGTGCAACCCAATCATTGTACATTTCAAATCTGAGGCTGCAACGAAACTCTTCTCGAATCTTGAGCACCTCAAGCCCGTTTGGTTGCCATCAGGCTCGAGTTTGTGTTTGTCCGAAAATAGGGTGCCCCTGGCCCCTGGCCCTATATTATAGGAAATTATAGGAAATTATAGGAAATTATAGGTGAATCATCAAATCATCAAATCATAGTGTCCATTTAAAAAAACATGAAATCATAGTTTCCACTAAAGTTTCATCAAATCATAGTTTCCACTAATGTTTCCATAGTTTCCAAGAAATTTCATGAAATGTGGGGCATCACCCAGATTTTCCAAGCCCAGTTGTTCGTCTTGTCCCAGTTGTCCCGTTCGTGTTTGTGACTCGCCCTGAGTGGCACACAGCACCTGCCCAATGGGTCACCTGTTGGAACCTTTTGAGCAGCACCTCGGATGGATCACTGGATGGAGGGATGGAGGTTTGGCTTGGTAAACAGCCACATAACTATGGAAAGATCCACCATGCTATTAATGGGTAAATCAACTATAAATGGCGATTTTCAATAGCTATGTTAATTTACCAGAGGGTACCATCGATGTTTCCTGTAGATGTTCCATGATGTTCCTGGAACCAATCTTCAGCAAATCCACAGCATGGATTGGTTCACAGATTTCTGTGGCTCACGCCTCAGGATCTCTCATGTGCCGAATCCTGCAAAGTTTCAGACACCAGGAGCCTGAAATACCAGGTGAGCTAATGCAAAGCCTAAGTTTTTCATACTCCTTGTGGATCATTTAAATATAGTACATAAGAATGTTCAATTGCAATCTTGACTTTCATTCTTCATCTTTTGTTGGTATTGCATAACTTGGGTTTACAGAACCACTACGTAACCATTGGTCTACAAATACCCCTAGTAATAGATGATTCTTCCATTAAAACCGTCATTCATTCCGGGGATGTCCCATTTCCCGGCTAGCCAAGTTTCATTCGCAGATGCTAATTCCATTCATCACCATTTTTCTATCACCGGTTATCACCAGTATATCCATCGCTAACCATGAACCATCAGCAAAATCACCATCATTGACCACCATTCACCACCATTGACCAGCATTATTCACCATGAATCACCATGAATCACCACTGATCTGTTGCTAAACTCAGGTCCTCTTGGCCCGTTCCAGTGCTTCATCTGCACTGAGGATCTGTTGCCTGGCCTCCGACAATTTTCATCAGTTGATGTGGCGACCTGATGACCTGGAAAAATCAACATCAACTGGTTCATCATTTTGTTCCCATGAAACTGAAATTTTCAACTGGCCATAAATCAAAGGATATTAATAGTACATAATAATACCTCATGTTTAGTTTAGATCTAATGTCTGTATGTCACTCATTTCATTGTTTATTGTATCACTTCCACAACAGCATACCACAGCATGCAGCCACTCGCTATTCTGCCTTCATCTTTCCCATGATGTCAATACTGAGCCTTTCGGCATCAGCTCTCTTCTTTTCGAGCTGCTCCTGAATTTGGGCCGCCAACTGGATTCAACTGGAAGATGGGACTGGAAACCGAGGGCTTTCTGCTGAGGCTGTTGAGGCCCGTGAAACGCTCTGCGACGTTTCCTCGTAGTATCTCTTTGTTGTATTGTTTGTTTGCAAATCTTAAGATCTCTTAAGCGCGTAAAAGGGGTTGTTGAAGCACAAACTATCCTACAATTAGAAAGTTGTACAGTATCTGTTTGCAAAACGCGTATCAATATGTGTTCAGTCACACCACGTCAGGCACCTGAAACATCAAAGCCTCTCTTTTCTCATCCTGCCCAACCAACCGACATAAACGACGCAAATCTCAAATTTTGGAGCACTTCAGTCATAAGGCACACTCTTTGTCACCGGCCTCTTCGGTTCCGGCTGTGACCCGGTACAACTGGCAACAGAGAAAGAGCGTCTGATCTGATCAAAACACCAAAAGGAAGTCACAACTGGCGCAACGGGGGCCGCTGCCTCGTCCTCTTCTTCTGGTGAGAGCATCTTGGCCCTTTCCTGCGCAGCACAATCTGCACAATCTGCACACTTCAAACAGGTGAGTCTTTAGCCCTGGCCGCCCCTGCCTCCTCCTTGCATTCAAAAAATTTGGGACGGAAATCGATCTGAACACGGAGGCTTCCACCTCAGTTCCCATGTGCACAGCAGGTCAAAGGTCAAAAACCCAGGTCATGAATGGTCATGAGGTCATGCGAGTTTGTCTGGAAATGGGGTATATCCATGTATATCCCCAGTATCCCCCAGTTATGGCCATTTTGTACGGAAAAAAATTATCAACTATCGTTTTGGACTGCCCTCTCTCCATAAAAACATGCTGAGTCATAATAGTCGCATCCTTACTAACCTCTGTTATGTCAAAGGGGGGGATGACCATGACCACTGCGCTCGTGCTGTCTTTGTCATGTTGCCAGAGCTCCGGACGACAACTGAGTCGCAAGGTGCGAACCACCTGACGCGTCGAAAAAAGAGAGAAGTGGGCAGAATGGACGACTCTCATGACAACAATCTGCTCTATCGATGGGATATTTTTTTGAGATTTGAATAGATTTGATGGAATATAATCATAACATATATCATAACCAACATTAGCCAGCAATAACCACAGTGTCATGTGGTAAACTCAAATCGTAGCTCCAACTGGCTGAACCTGTCATAGGGTCCCTATGGATACCCAATCGCTCCGGACATGTTTCCAACAGGTCGGCGCTGCAGTCACGGGCTCACTGCCCCAAACAGCTTGTCGAAGGTGTCGGTAGCGCACCACAACACACCCTAGCCTGGCAGGCTCCGCCAGCCGGGTATCTTCGTTACTTGGATTCGACGCATAGCTTTAGTGCGGATGCGGATGGTGTCGCCAAAAACTAGGGCTCCTTCAAACTGCAGTGTCTCCATGTTTCTTCACTGCCAAATGTTTTTTTTGTTTTTTTTCCGGAACCTAAACACACCATGCTTCTTTCCGTGCTGCGTGATGTCTTGTGTCTTAAAACCGCCAGGGAACGGGAGGTGCGTGCGAGGGACCAGCGGCTCTGGCCTGCAGCTGCATCAGCTGAGCAAAAAAAAAACGCTTCAAAGATACTGAGGCAGCGTCACATCACAGCCACTGCGAGCTAGAACCTGCCAACTTGATCCAACTTGGACACGAGACAAGGTGAGGAGACGAGTGTCTCAAAAAAGGTAATAGCTTATACTTTTGATAGCTCTTAAATCTCTGGAAAACTCCTGCAGCTCCTACTCTTCATCTCTCAAAATCTGCTGCAGGACCTCTCGGAGGTTGGAGACTTCGTTCCATCTTCTCTCCGTCAGCGCCAGTCCATCTTCACCCTCGTCAGTGGATGTTTCCCGAGGTTTCTTATGGTTTCTTGATGATTTGGGGGTCACCCATTTGAAGAACTTTCTTAAGTTAAGAAACCATCAAATGAACCAGGGAATTCAGTTGTGACGCCTTGGCACTTGAAAAGCCTCAGCTGCCCAGATCTGCCCAAATCAGCCCAATGGACTCCCAGGCGGCCTTCACTTGAGTGGTGGACAGCTTTAAATCTTCTGTAGGCCTCATCCAAATCCAAAATCAGGGGTCAAAACATGTCAAAACCCTCAAAACCATTCAAAACCCACTGCTCCTGGTCCTGTTTGATTCAATGGATCCATATGGATCCACTGGACCTTCATCCCCCCAGCTGGTTTCCAATGACTGGCTTTTGATCTGGCCACCCAAATGGGTTTTGATCCCCGACTGAGCCATCCTGCTCTGTCCCCGTCAGTTGAGCCATGGCCAACTTTCGCAGTCTCAAGACCTGCGATCCATCGAAAAACCCTGAGGATTTACAACATCACTATTGGCAACCAAGACAGTTCTGAGGAAATAAATGGGAAAATTATGGAAATATTAAGAAAGCCGACCTCTGAGTCTTCTTCACGATCCGCTCGCTTCATGAGTCTCTGAAAAGATTCCTGCAGCCGATTGTGGAGACTGATCAAATCCATCCATCAGACTGCTTCGGCCGAAAGACATGGCAGCGGAAAGGTCCTGTAAAGCAGATGTGAATTGGGGTTTCACTTGATGTAAGGTCCTTAGATTTTTGTCAGATTTCAGGCACTGAATGCAGCTCACAAAGGGCGAGTTCAGTGCTTGTTAGTCATTTGTTCACACCATGTTCACACCTTTCCAACCAAGGACCGCACTTTCCAGTGACCGCTTCCATGTGGGAGAGGTTCTGCAGTTCTTCCTTCCACAGCAATTTGCGGTTGTCTGGTCAAGCCATGCCATGCCTCCATGCTTAGCTTGATGACTGTATCCTAGTTTTTCATTTTTTTTACATCATTATTCCACATGAAAAAACATGATCCATTTGCCATCCATCCAATCAAGAATGACCCTGCCGGCCCTGCCAACCAAACATTCTGTGTCACCCTGAGGAGATGGAATCCCCCATAAATCAATGCCTCATCAATTTCCCAATGTGTTTCCATTATAACTACATATATATATACAAGAAATCAAATCCCTGTCAAAGTCCAGCTGTCAAGTTGAACCCCCATGAATTCCATCACCATTAAACTCCAATAAATCGCATAAAAATCCCTATGAAATCCCAAGAAAATTCCCAGCTGCGGCCTCATCCAAACCTAGAGCCGCTCCGTCCATGACCTCTTTGGTGTTCTCCCCTGGGGCTGCAACCTGATCGTTCGCCAAAATTTGGAGTGGTGTTTAAAAAAAGAAAAAAGGATTGAAATCGATATATGGATATTGATGGATATTGATATTATTGATATATGGACACTGAATGATATAATGTATATTTTTGTGTGTGTACTGACTTTATGGATATAGGTTCCCAACTTCCGTATTGTGATCTCAATCTATCGATCTTGATTATGGAATACTATGGATATGAATCCATATTGGATGGGTTGGTTCCCAACTTCAAGAATACATATATTACATATATTCCATATCCACATGGATATTGAGTTGGTGCTATCAACACATCACAAACATTTTTGGATGGAAAAAGGATTTCTACTTACTAGTTGGGATCAGCCTGCAAAATATGACATAATCCATACAATCCCCCCCCAAACGGTCTCCGGCTCAAAACAAGCATCCTGGCATCTTGGCCCCCACACGACCCAAGCAACCAAGCAAGCACTGGGATCCAAAGATTGGGTGTCAAAGCGAAAGACTTCATGCCTCCGCGGTGTCTGCGAAATCTGCGAACTGTCCAACTCCCAGCCAAAAAAAGAGCCCAAATGAGCCCAAGATAGCTCAGGCGCATGCCACTCAGGCGATGAGTTCTGCAAAACACAGGAAGTGAACGCAGCCTGCGGTGCTGCGGCACAAAAATGGAGGAATCATCGCCAACAGCCCAGTTCAAAGTGGCAAAGTCACCTCGTGAGGCTACAAACCCACAAAAATGAGACATTTGCAGAGCAAATATCACTTGGGAGCCAAAATGCAAATGTTGGAGACTTCATTTTTTCCTGCTGCATGTGGTACACAAGGTTCATGCATATCTTGATTGAGGGCAGCCAACAACCACATCATAATCAAATCAGCAATGGCAGCTTAAAAAACCTGGAATGTCACCACGTCATCCATCCAACGAAGAAGCGCATTTCAGCCTGAGGTCTTGCTCCTGCTTGTGTTCGGAGCTGAAGATTCACATACGCATTCACCTAAGTAGAAGATCTGCACCCGTGGCATGAGGCAGAGTCTTGTGAAAATCACACATTGTACCAAAAAAACACATCAACATGTGCCTGAGCTACAAGCAAAGCCAGTCTTGCCTTCAAGGTACAAATCCGTTGCCTCCCAAGTGACTCCCGAGTGACTCCCGAGTGACTCCCATCTTAAAATCTGTAGCCCCTGGGGATGGGTTGCCTCCAGCACGGAGACCATCATGTGACCGTGGGCTTTCACGGCGCCGCCCTTGGCCTCGGCCGAGCCCCAAATTCTGATGCAAGAAATCTGCACTTTTTTTGGGATTCATGATGGGAACTGTTCATGGGAAGATGATAGTCTTGGAAAATGATGATTGTGTGGTCATTGAACCCAAATTCTGATGGATTCATCATGAATTCCCGATGGAAAATTGCCATGATAATTTTGCAATTTGGGTTTGTGTCAATCTGGGGGACCCTCATGGACTCCCAAAAAATCCCGTGGTGCGTCATGATTTTCCCCATGAAAAATCAAGGTTTTTGTTGTCTGTCATGATTTCATGCCATCGCCGACTTAGCGAAAGTGACAGTTTATAGCTGATTTCTGGATATCCCAACATGGTCCCAGAAAGCCATAGCTATTAACATCCTATCCCCATTGAGAAGCGGCGCGATTTTTTGGAGAAATATGAAGAACCGGATGACTTCATTGAATCTGTCTGCGGTTTTCATGACTCAGGCTGACTCAGGGTTTCTTGGTATCCAGCTGGCTCGTCCGTGCTCATGATTCCATCCAGCAGAATGTCCTGGCTTCAGCCAATTTGGAGAGTTCAAGAACTCATAGAAGTCAAGGGGATCGTCATTCTCCTAACTAGGTGGAAAGTTGAATCTATCATTAATCATCAACAAATATTATGGATTATTAATGAGTATTAATTTCCAATAATAATCTATAATAATCTATAATAATCTATAAGATTATAATAATTTATAACAATCTATAATAATCTATAATATTCTATAATAATCTATAATAATCTATAATAATCTATAATTCCCCAAGAAAGCCAAGGCTTTACTCGGTACCTTGGTGACAGCGACGACATCTGCAGGGTCACGTCGACGCTGTGTGATCTGCAGAGCGGTGTCACCATCCTGCCAATTCTGTTCAAACTCACAGAACTAGATGGTTTTGTCCGGAAATGAATGGGGAATATTCCGGGAATAACTATCATGGTAATGGTAGATAGATTTAGAGACTAGATTTAGAGATTAGAGATTGGATCGATGGATAGATCGATCGGTAGATACATAGATGATCAGATGGAGAGATGGATGGACAGATGGATAGATGGATAGATGGATGGACAGATGGATAGATGGATGGATGGACAGATAGATAGATTGACTTGATATGATTCGGGCTTTGTCCAGAAGTTAGCTACGCCTCGTTTTTATGGAGTTTTTGCCGGAGAAAGAATCAAGCTGGCAAAGGAAACCACTCTGTATTGAACATGTTGAACCACTCTTATAGAGAAGTTGATTAGCATGTGTGTAAAGACATAAACTATATGATAATGTGAGTAAAACAATGCCATAAACCACCCATGACTGGGAATGGTTAATACCACCTATAAAGATGGTGATGTGGGGGATGGTTTATGATGTTTATGATGTTTATGGCATTGTTTTACCATGTTTTACCCACAGACATTAAAAATTTACAGCTGGTGATGTTTCTTTGAACCTCGCTGTTCAGTCGCTTTGATTCGATCCACTGATGCGGCGTACCCAGTTGCGGGCATCAATCTCCGCCGTGAAGTCCACGAGCACTCGAACCACTTCCTGGAGGGGATGGGCCTCCAAGTTGTTCTGCTTTGGTGTGATAACAAGCCCTGGGATGTTGGGCTATATTAGGCTATATATAGATCAATTATACATCTATATAATTATATGATATATGAATACCCAATTTTTGGACGCCATCTGTGAGAAGCAGGCAAGGACGACATCGGCACCGCGAGCACATGCGTGCATTAACGGAGTCCAGCCCTGGCGAAAGAAAGAGACACTGGCTGTGAATGGGTGCAAATCAGCAAATGCACAAAGGCTGACCCACCTTGAAATCCTTCGCATTGGCATCAAGGCCCAAATCCAGCAAGCATTTCCTTATCATAGGCCCATTGGAGTAGGTTTGTACCCCATGTAGCTCATGGATGACTTGGTTGGGCCTAGTACTGTATTGGTATCTTAACTATAACTATGACTGTAACTACAACTATAACTATAACTCTATGAGAATATGAGATGAGTATATCATTACATTATTTATATATATATATGTTTCTGTTTGTATCTATATTTTACATTCAAAACATACCTGGAAGGAGGAGACGGTTGACAACAGCAACTGCGTCGCGGACATGGTCAGGGCTTCATCTTCCATGGCGGCCCAGTGCACCGCAGTGAAGCCATCGCGGTCCTCCGGGATGGGGCAGGATGGGGGGATGGGTCAAGCCTGGTCGAAACAAACCATCCATGATGTCATCCAAATCTATCCAAACATGGGATAAAATATGCATAAATCAACTAAATAAAACAACTGAAAAAAAAAACTTTGAACATCTTTAAACCATCCATTTTGATGCTGAAATCCCAGCTCCTTGGCAGCCGTATTTGAACCAGAAAGAACTAGTGATGGCAACAGCTGCCAGTGCCTGGCACGTCTATCCGTCTATCACCAGCTAAACCATGGTGCCGTGGTGGGATGCTTAAGATTTACATATTGATTTACAGCATCGAAGACTTTGGATCTGATCTGTGTATTACATAATATGTATATATGTACTGTATATATCTGTATATTGTATATCATTGTATATCCTATATTTGTCTCTGTGTGTGTGTAAAAGATAATCATTGACAACTCATCCTTTTCCCATCTGAACTCCCTGTCCACGAGCTCGCAGTGAAGACGGGGTACGTCAAGACTGCTCTTTTGTTCAAGTTCAGACCAAAACCACCATTTTGTTTGGAGAAAATATGAAAAGTTCGTTTATATCCAATAAAGTCGGTCATATTTATTCATATATATATATATGTATTCATATTCATATGTATATATATATATATACGTATATAGAACAATTTGTTTGGAGAAAACATGAAAAGTTCATTTATATCCAATAAACTCGGTCATATATATATATTATATATATATACGTATAATGAAGGAATTTGTTAAAATTGATGCCACAACTTTTTTGATGCTGAAAACCCCCCCAGACCTGCCCGCCCAAAAGCCCCCCATGGCATGTCTTTCATGCAAATTCCATGTCATGTCATACATGGACATGATGCCACAGTCATGGCAAGACATCCCGTGTTCAGACATGACATGTCATACATGGACATGCCATGGTCATGGCACGTCATGCCATGTTCCCATCTCATGTGACCATGACATGACAAGCTCCACATGAAGCAGGTCATGCTCCCAACTCATGTTCAACCGTTCATTTCTTGAAGATTGGTTTCAAAACTCCTTTCGGTTTCGAAGAGCTGGCCACCTCTCTCTCCTTGCGGTGAAAATGTGAAACGGTGGAATCTACAATGGCATTGAACATTGCCACATGTTTGGGTTCTTCTCCCTTCAACAGCTCTTTTTGGACAGCTTCCCTCACATCTTGGAACGATAAAGCTTTGGGGTCCGATTCCTCCATCAAGGTTTTTACAAATTTCTTCGCTTCTTTCTTGAAGTCTCGCTGATCAGGGGACTCATCTTTCTTCTTTGGCATTCCTGCGGGGGCCGGACAGTGGGCTAGTGTTAATGTTGCATGAATTTGGGACACCCATGGCAGGCATGCAAGTCCATGGTGGTAAACGAAACCATGACTCAAACATGACACACATGGGAAACATGGCCAACAAACATGAATACCCACGGTCCCTAACATGGCAAGCATGGCAAAACTCCATGGATGACAAGCATGAAACTCCATGTGTGGCAAGCATGGGCTGGCCAATTGGGCTGCCCCAATTGGCCAGCATCATCCCGTCGTCCGCATGAGCCTGTGAGCACGGTACAAGGCTCCCCGCTGGGTGCTGGACATTTTCAATCCAGTCAGGTCTATCCAGCGGACTTTATCCAGGATGGAGAATGGAATTTGGTTCTCCGAGTCCAAGGTGAACCCCCAAAGGTGATTCCGTCAAGGGGACCACGCCAAAGCGGTGGGACATGGTGTTCAATGCCTCCATGACAGCCGGAAGCTCCTTCAGCTTTCTGCCCATGTTGGTGTAGCGCTGGCAAGTGCTGAGGTTTTTAAAGGACCAGATGTCAGAATGCATCCTCCCAAAACCATGACAGTTGGTATGTCAACATGAGAGCATGTCAGCATGATGACAAGCATGTCAACATGGAGTCATGGCCATGTTAAGTCGACATGGAGTCATGGCCACATAGCATCATGTCAACATGGAGTCATGGCCACATGGCATCATGTCAACATGGAGTCATGGCCATGTTAAGTCGACATGGAGTCACGTCCACATAGCATCATGTCAACATGGAGTCATGGCCATGTTAAGTCGACATGGAGTCACGTCCACATAGCATCATGTCAACATGGAGTCTTGGCCACATGGCACCATGTCAACATGGAGTCATGGCCACGTTATGTCGACATGGAGTCATGGCCACATGGCATCATGTCAACATGGAATCATCACAACAACTGTTTGCATGGCAACACGGAAACATGGCAACCTGATCAACCATGTTATGGCATGCAATCAGTGACAAATCCATGTCAATCATGTCATGACATGTGAATGGGAAGGCCAGGGTGCCATCCCCGCATGTAGCTCCCTTTGCTCAACAAGGCCTCGATCGCCTTGTCCTCCGACATGGCCATTTCGGTCATTGCGCCGTCCACCATCTTCGCTAGGACAAGGCGCTTGTCGGCCGCCCCGAGTCCAATGACTTGCCGGTCCCGTTCTTCGTCTTCGACCAGACCTACTAGTAGGTTAGGTAACTCGGAGCTAAGGTGAGAAATTAACATGAACTCCCTGATGCCAATAAGTGTTGGAAAACTAATTCAACCGTGGTGCCGAACTTTGCCAAGTCGAACTGCGAGCCCACGCCGTAGCTGTAGAATTCCAACACGATGTCGGCAAGCTCTCTCTTCAACCAGTGGCAAATGTCACTGTCGTTCCTGAACCAAAAGGCTATCAGAAGCGCAGCTGCCAACTCGGAATCACCGTTGAGCCGCTGCAGGTCTTTGATCTTGTTAGTGTCTGAAGTCCACAGATCCGAATTCACCTTCACGGTGGGAATGATGTGGCCCAAGTTCCCTGGAACACCGTCCCACTTCATCAAGACAGTCTCGATCCTGCGAGTCTGCCATACGCCCACTGCCCTTTCCTTATCAAGTTATGTCCATGGTAGGGAGCCTATGATAAAGTCAACATGTGGTACCACAAACCCATATGCGGGGCATGTTGCAAGTCATGGGCATGTTGGACATGTCATGGTCAAACTCCCATGTGAAACATGATGGCATGTCATCAGCATGTTGGACATGTCATGGTCAAATTCCTATTGAAACATGAGAAAATTCATGAGCATATTGAACATGTCATTGGCAAACTCCCATGTGACACACTTGCAAGGCATGAGCTGGCTAAACTGTTGGTGAATCTCACAAGTGACATGTTGTGGGACATGCTCGGATTTTTCATTTTCAAGCTGACTTCCAGCATGCTGACAGAATAACTCGTGCGGAACAAGTTTTGACCAGTGTCCCCCAGGGCCAGCATTGCGCAAGACCCCCCAGTCTGAACTCGCGTCTTCTTCGAGAGCGAGTACTTTGAGTTCATCCACTGGTCGGATTGGGCACTTTGACACCTTCCCTCACCTGAAGCTGTCCATGCCTAAAGCAAAACAGGGCCATGTCATGACGTCATGAGCGAACCGATCTGTTCTATCACCATGAAATCACATGCATGTCTCATCTTCAAAGACCACCCCATGACAAACATGACATTCATGCATGGCTCCAAGATAAATAGGAATATCAGGGTGCGAGGACTTTCCCCATGTAGGAGTCAAATCCCTCACTCATGGCTTCCACCAGAAGTGCTTTCAAGTCCACATCGGTCTTCGTGGATTTCGCCATCTTCCCAAAAGCTCTGGTTAGGCTAAATTCTATCTATTAGGTTATATCTTGTTTTCTGACTATTAGTTAAATTGTGTTTTTACCGATTAGGTAAAACAACTGTTTTACCTAATAGTCAGAATGATCAAATAACATTTTTTCTTTAGGTTATTTATATGAATAATTTTTTTCTTATAGGTTATTTATATGAATAACCTGTATTGGTACCTTTTTTGGAGAAACTTCGTTTTCTTTATATACAAAAAATATTTTGTAATCTCCAATTACACATTTTTTGGTTTGATACATTTTTCCGATAAAATGATGCTGAAAAAACTAAATACAAAAGAAAACCAGAAAACATATATTTTGGATTGGACAAACCGACACAGGATAGAAACAAAAAACACATGCCAAAAAGTAATATATTGTATATACATGGATATGTCTCAAAACGAGGTGTCTTTTTTTGGTTCCTAAAAGGGTTCTTTGAGAGAAAAAAAGGACACCTCATTTTGAGACAACCTTCCCCCCCACACACACTTATATATATATATACATAATTATAGATATAAATACAAAACATTACACACACACACATATATATATACACACATATATATATATACATAGATATATATAAATAAACTTGAATAAATACATAAAAAAAAATAAATAAATAACTATATAAAATAAATAAAAAAAACATAGTTTGCAAAAATCAGCGATTTTTTTTCGGGGCGCGAAACCACCACAGGACAAAACCAAAAAAAATATAAAACATAAAAATAGAATTAATGTTCAGTTCAAGAAAAAACAATTAAACCAAAAACTCACATAGCCAACAACCCAAAATAAAAAATTCAAAAACTGTGAAACATATGGTTCAACAAGTACTTTGCCAGCTGCATTGTATTTCGAAAAACACGAATTCATGTGAATTCATGGGTGCTCATGCGCGCTCAAGTGGTCATGGGTGTCCATGGATGTTCATGGTTGTTCATGCGTGTGTATGGGTGTTCATGTATTTTTGTTTGTTTGTCATTTTGTTTTGCTGCCATCCACTTTCTTTGAACTTAAAAAAATGAACGTGAGATGGAGGTCCCAGCCCTGGGCCGATTTCTTTGTTGAATTATCGGCAATCCAAGGGTTTGAAGGGGCCTTTTTTGAAATCAGTTCAGGCAGCAGTAGTTTTATAAAGACAAACTGTCAAGACTGGATGGCCTTTCATGGTTGTATTCATTTTTTTTGCAAAAAATAAACGGCCAATCCAGCCCAGACTTGATCAATCACTAAAGGGCCTCCAGCCCTCGATATCAGAAAATCAAACACAATTAGCAATAACCTGGGGCTCTCCATCCTTGACATTTATGCCAAAAAAAAATCTGACTATATAAAGACAAACAATGACTTGGTGTTCAGCATTCACATTTTCTATGCAGTTAAACCTGGAATTTGCCAGTAAATTTTTGGTTTTGCAGTTTTCAGATTCATGTTTACAAAAAGAAGGAAAAAGGTTGTCAATCCCAGAGCCCATCCATTACTACGTTACTACGTTTTTATTTCGTCAAACCTATTTGCAAGAAGATGCAATCCAACCCAGGGTTAATCAATCACTTGGGCCTTCCCATGCAAATCCATTTCCTAAAAATTAATCCAAATGTTTTGCAATGACTTGAGGCCCTCCAATCATCAAATTCATTTACATGTGCATGGGAAAATCTCTCCGAGAAAGTGTTTGGTTGAAGATTTTTTGATATGGAAAACATGGCTGGTCAAACATTTTTTTGAAAAAAACGCATGTTTTTTTTTGAATAAAATTCGGTCTTTTTCTGAATAAATATGATTGTTTTTAACTAAAAACAAAGATTTGAGTAAAACCAAGATTGTTTTGTGAATAAATCCAAGGTTTTTTGAAGATTTTCAAGGAAATGAGGTGTAAGTTTGATGTAAGTTTGCATCAAAACTTTTGAGGTGTAAGTTTACATCAAACTTACACTATGTAAGTTTACACCAAACTTACATATCAAAAGTGTAAGTGAACATCAAACTTACACTGAGAAGTGTAAGTTTGCACTTGTATGTGTAAGTTTGATGTAAACTTACACTTTTGATATGTAAGCTTGGTGTAAACTTACACTCTTGATGTGTAAGTTTAGTGTAAGTTTGATGTAAACTTGCACCTCAAAAGTTTTCATGCAAACTTACATCAAACTTACACCTCATTTCCTTGAAAATCTTAAAAACATCTTGGATTTATTCACAAAATGATTTTATTCAAGAGAAATCTGGGTTTTTAGTCAATCAAATGATGTTTATTCAGCAAAAATCTTGATTTTATTTTAAAAAACTTGTTTTTTTAAAATGTTTTTTGTCAAAAAATGGTTGGTCAATCACTTTTTTCCATCAACAAATCTTCAACCATACACTTTCTGGGAGAGATTTTCCCATGCACATGTGAATGAATCTGATGACTGGGGGGCCCCAAGTCATTGCAAAACATTTGGATCAATTTTCAGGAAATGGATTTGCATGGGAAGGCCCAAGTGATTGATTAACTCTGGGTTGGATTGCATTTTCTTGCAAATAGGTTTGACGAAAAAAGTAGTAACGTAGTAATGGATGGGCTCTGGGATTGACAACCCTTCTCTTTATTTTGGGTAAATTCTGGTTTTACTTGCCTCAAAGACATGAATGCCGATCACCTCAACTCACTTGCATTGTTTGGTAGTTTCGTTGTTTTTTCAATGGGGAGAAAGGCCAAGGATGGAGAGCCCCAGGTCATTGCAAATCTTTGGGAAGGTGTTTTGATGTACACAGGTTTGAGGGATGGAGACCCCCTTAGTGATTGATCAAGTTTTGGCTGGATTGTTCCGTTTAGTTTTTGCAAAAACACCTTGAATACAACCAATTCCCACCAAGCAATTTGCAAACATTTTGTGCTTGCCACTACTTGCTTACAAGTGGAAAACCTTCCAGTCTTGACCGCTTTTGTTTATGAATCTGTTACTGGCCAACGTTCAAGATGATTTCAAAAAAAAAACATTCAAAGCCAGGGTTTGCCAATGATTTGGGGTTCTCTGGCCCCAAATTTATGTTAAAAATAAACAAATAACCATCGAGTCCGAGCTGACCAAGAACTCGGGGATTTCCATCTGGTCACCAAGGCACAGGTTTTGCAGCCAAATAGCAGCGCATGAGAGAAAACCACCAACCAAATCAGCAAGTGTGCCATTTTATACCCAAAAATCGCGCGCGAACCTCACGATAAATTACTTTGATTTTTCTTTTTGGGCATGGAAACCCACTGAGTAAGCTAAATGGGTGGCAGCCGAAAAAATGAAAAACACGCATGAACACCCATGGACAAGTTAGGTTTTGGATAATTGTTTTCACACTTTTTGATTTATTACTTTGTGTTGTTGTTTTTGCATTTGTTGGTTTCATTGTTCTTCTTGTTTTTGGTTTTTCAGCCTGTGCTGGCTTGGCGCTCCCAAAAGCTATCCATTGCCATTGTTGCAAAACATGTTTTTTTCTTGTTTGGGTATGTCTGAAAATGAGGTGACCTTTTTTCGCTTCAACGTGACCATTTTGGGGTCAAAAAAGGACACTTCATGTTGAGACATACCCATTTGCTCATATATTGTTTTGGACATGTGTTTTGTTGCTTCCATGCTGTGTTGGCTTGCCCCATCTAAAACATATCCGACTGAAATTTACAGATTCACTTTAGCACAAAAGGCTTCACTTTGGCACAAAAAATCACTTCAGACCCGCATATATCAAAAGAAACGACATACACCACTCACAAAACAATGAAGAAACATTTGAAAAAACTATTTGCCCAAAAACATGTAATTCAAAAATTCCAAAGGAAACAAATATGGAAAAAGACTGGGTCTTTTGTTTGAACTGTTGGAAATATAGCTTGACGAAAGAAAAGCAAAGTCTAAAACAAGACAGTTTTTAGGTTATTCGGCTAAATAAACTATTTAGGCAAACAGGCAAACAACCTAAAAGACAGAACGCCAAATAACCTAATAGATAGAATTTAACATTAAAAACTAAAATAACCTAATAGGCAGGAATTAGCCTAACCAGAGCTTTTTGTGCTTCTGCCTGTTGCCTTTGGGCTGCAACAACGGACGCATCAGCCATAGCCCTGAGTCAGACGAGGTCACCAGGTCAGAATCCTGAAGTCAAATTGAAATTTTGAGCC